TGCTCTTCTCCCCCTGCACTTCTCTCTCACCGTCCCTGCTGTGTCCTCCTCTGCTCTTCCCTGCTCTGCTTCAGCCACCACGATATGGGACAATGCAGGTTTTATAATGCAGAAAGCAATGCTTCTCATCTCTCATTCTAAAAGCCAATTACTGAATTTCTTATGTTTATTTTTAAGCCACTAACGTGGTGACCCTTTCTCCTGCACCCCTCAATTCCTGTAAAGACTGCTGAGGCCCCAGCTGTCGGTAGGGAAGGTTTCCACTGGCCTCGTTTCCCTCCAGCGACAGCCACAGAGCCCTCGAGGAGGGCAAGGAGGCTGATTTGCAGAGCCCGTAGCAAAACCAACCATATTAGTTCTGCTTTCTATTTATGGGACCAACCAGACACTCTTGAGTCTCGCCAACCTTTTGCGATCAGGATGCCACCTTGAAGCTGTGAAAGCAATAGAGAGCACGGAGCCGGATCTCATCCAAAGGCAGGTGTACTGAGGTTAGGAGAGGGCCGCTGGACTTGCACAGGCCAGAGCTGGAGTCCTGGTCCTACCACCTGTGAGTTGTGTGACTAGTAGATAGGCCGTTCTATGCCTCAGTTTCCCCTATAAAATAAGGGCCCACAGCATAAGGTTACTGTGAGGTTAAAACAAGTAAATCGGAGCCCAAGCCATCGTGATTGGCTTCTCCCCAGACCCAGCCATGTTGAGCAGGAGAACCCCAAAATCGAGTCAAGGTCAGAACTAGCTGGAGAGCTTTGTGAAATGCTGGTTGTTCCTGCAAAGACACCTGAGAAGGGCAGTCACATCATCCTGTGGCCACTGCACAGGAGCCGAGCTGGAGACAGGAGCAAGGCCCCTCCTTCCTCCGCAGGATGGCCCACTTCCCGTGGCCTGAGGGGCCGCCCACACCCTCTGCTTCTCCACGTGCCCCCCACCACCCCATTCCTTTGGCAGCTGCTCTCACCAGCCCTTTCCCTGCTGGTTCCTCCCTCTGGCCACCAAAGGGGGCTGCCTCCAGCCCTCCCACAGCGGCTCTCCACACACAGTCACACCCACTCGCATGGACATGCACGTGGATACACACACAGCGGGGAGCCTGCTGTGTCTCCCTCCCCCGCCCCACGCTCCCCTCCCTCCGCTCTGCATACATCCTGTGATTCATTTGTCTGCTCAGTATTAATGAAACATCCGTCTCCTGGCAAACAGCTCCTCGCTGATGAGATGGCTCAGACCCTCTTCCAGGGTTTAATCGGAAATAAACAGAATGCTCACCCTTCCTAATTTGAGGGGAAACAAGTGACTTTGTTTGATCTGGTCCTTGCCAGCATCTGTCTCCCTTGCCTTCACCCCAGCACCCTAGCCCCTCCTCCCTAGAGGGCCCCCTGCCCATCCTATCTCCCTCGTGGTGGTGCCCTTGACCTCTGACCTCCACCTCGTCACTGTGGCGCTAACCGTGACATCTAGGGAGGCTGAGACTGGAGCACAGAACAAAGGGGTGACAGAACAAGAGATTGGAACAAGCTCTTCCGCATGTGATATGCTGCTTCTGCTTCCTTGTGAAGCTACTTATTGAACAGACAGTAACAATACAGAAAGCTAACAGGTACCGAGTTCCTGCTCTGGTGCTGAGCTCTGAGACAAGAACTCGTATCAGCTCCCAGTCAGCATGACAGCCCCATGAAACAGATGCTGCAGGTCTGTGACATAGAGATTACCCAGCACAAGGAATTAAGTAATTGGCCCACAGTCACACAACCAGGAGCCAGGAACAGAGCTAGGCACTGCGCCTCCCTTCTTGTCCCCTGCACAGTGGGAGCTCCGTGGAGCTCCGTGGGAGCTTCCCCAGCGTCCTGAACCTTTGCTGGTCACTAGAGTCAGGCTGCCAGTCCCAGAGAGGCCTCTGAGCTCAGCTGGTCCAGAGTCCCCTGGTCGGGGGCAGCCCCACAGCTGAGACGCAGCCTCCAGCTCTTTCCTCTTGACCTTCTGCCCCCGACCTGTGTGCTGCTGTGCCACAGAATACACAGGATGACATTTCCTTAAAAAACCCCACTTGCATCCTGCCCCAAAGCTTCTTTATGTAAATCTACCTAATGGGGGTAGAGAGGGTCTGAAGAGGGAAGAAAGACACCCATGTCAATTAAATTACATATATGTAATTAACACATATGTAGGATTGCCAGATAAAATACAGGATGCCCGGGGAAATTTGAATTTCAGATAAACATCCTTTTACTAAAAATTACTTGTTGTTTATCTGAAATTCTAATATAAGTGGGAGTCCTGTACTTTTATTCATTAAAGCTGGCAACCCTGCACACATCCCAACTCTGCTGCTTACTAGCAGTGTTACCCTGGGCAAGTAACTTACCCTCTTTGTGCCTCAATTTCCTCATCTTTAAAACATACAGAGTAACTGTATCTACCTCATATGGGGCTGTTGTGAGGATTAAATGATTGTTTTTAGAGGCCTGGAAGAGTTCTGGAAGTACTGTAAGCCCTATAGCAATGTTAGCTATTATTCGTATTATTATTATTATTGTTTTCTTATTACTACGTCCAAGGTCGTACACTCAGTGGTGGAAAATGCAAAGAGGCTTGAGGACTCCTGCTCTGGTACTGTCAGCCGCCTGAAGCGGGCCCACAAATCTGAGCCACGCTGACTGTGTGAGTGCCGGTGTAAAAGGTCCAAGCCTGGTGTGAGGTGACAGGGCCAGGTCTGCTTCTGGCTCAGGGGGATGGGGCGAGGCACCAGGCAACAGTATTGATTAAGCACTCACTATGGGCCAGACAGTGAACCAAGTACTGAGATAGAAGACATGGCAAGGACCAGCCCTCAAGAGCTCATGGCTAGTGGGGCGGCCAACAGCATTGGCCCCACGGGCCCCATGAGCTCGTGGAGGTGGCCCTTGCTCTTAGGGCAGTGCAGAGGCTGGACGAGGGAGGGACGGGGCTGAGACTGAGAGAGAGCTTTTTTTTTCCCCTGCTTTATCTCTTCAAACCCTCCCTGTACACAGTTGTATATCTTAGCTGCTGGTCCTTCTAGTTGTAGGATGTGGGACGCCGCCTCAACGTGGCCTGATGAGCGGTGCCATGTCCGCACCCAGGATCCGAACCCTGGGCCGCCGCAGCGGAGCACGCGAACTTAACCACTCCACCATGGAGCCAGCCCCGAGAGAGAGCTTTTGAAGGAGGTGACAGTCTTAAAGAATGAGCAAGAAATTAACAAGGTGAAGGTAGCCTTTCAGCTGACTAAAGAGAGGATGGGATTCCAGCCGATTAAGATGCCGGAAAAGAACATTCCTGGCAGAGGGAACCCCACAAGCCAAAGCACATGGTCCTCAAGGGCAGGCTATCCTTGCAGAATGGTGAACGGACCAGTCCAACTAAGCCTGGGAGAAAGAACCAGAGAGAGAAGGCCTAACTGTAGAGAACCTGGAACACCCTCCAGGCTGAGGAATTTGTTTTTAACCTGGAGGAACGGGGAGCCAATGAACATTGTGAGTAGCAGAGACTGAGCTTGCAGGAGAGTCTCCTGGCCATAGCGGAGGTAGGGAGGACTGGAGTGGAGAGAGAGTCGATGCTGTGGGCCCAGTTCTGCGATGACTGCAGGAGCCCAGAGCTTTGGGCAGTCACACGGGAGCAATGCAGACAGTAGTTACTGAGTGTATCAGTTAGCTCCTGCTGCATAATAAACCACCCCAAATGTAATGATCGTGTGAGTGGTTTGACTGATCTCAGCCAAGGCGGCTCACCTCTCCACATGGGGAGCTGGGCCCACACATGCCTGTGCAGCCTACGAGCCTACGAGCCTCTCTCTCATGGGGACAACATGTGGGGGGACTGGAGGGCGGAGAAGCCAAGCCAGGAGGGCAGCACAGGATCACCCCTGAGGAACATCAGGGTCTCCACCCGGTGCCTGGTGAGGCCAGGGCAGCAGAAAAGAAGAGAGTCCTGTATTCTCCCAAGGAGAGAGAACACCAGGCCTCTGAGCTCCGGCACTCTGCCATCATCCCTCAGGGAATGAGCTCAGTCTGCTTGGAGAACCAGTAACATACCACATCATACAACACTGGACCATTCATAAGGTGTTCTCCCACACTGCATCTCACTTGATCCTGGCGGCTACGCAGCAAATCTGGTTTTACTATATTCCCTATTTTACAAATGAGGAAACTGAGGCAAGAGAGGCTAAGGACCTGGCCCATGGCCACAGGCTAGAAAATACAGGACCCAGGATTTGAATCCAAGCTGCCTGACCTTCAAGTTAGCCAAGCAAAGGGAACCGGACAATTGGGGAAGAGAGGCTTATTCCAGGAATGGCAGGTGATTCTTGTCCACAAGAAGAATTTGAGTTAAAAAGTGATGAAAAGTGAGACTCAGGAGGTCGGCAGGAGCGAAGAATTTCAGACATTTTATCAAGATCGCAGTAGGGGACCTTTGAAAGATCTGAAACAAAGGAACCCTCGATGTTCAGCAAACAGGGAGTGAATGAATGATTGAGTGGATGGATGAACGACCAGACTTTGTAAAGCTCACCCCGGGACAGGGTGGAGGATGGGGAGTGGGTGTTAGGTTTACAATCCAAAGAAGAAATGGTGAGGGCCTGTGCCAGGAAAACTGTTGGGAATGGAAAGGGAGAGACAAATTTGAAAGATATTTCAGAGAATTAACCAGGCTGGTTAGCAACAGGAGATGAGGAAGAGTGGAGTCCAGACGTGCAGATTTCTGGCTGCAGTGATCGAAGCCCCAAAATATGGAGTATGCGTGTTTGGGGTTTACCAGCACAGATGTTGATTGAGTCCCCAGGAAAGCCAGGAGCTTCTCCGGGGACAGTGTGTGGAATGACATGTGCCAGGCAAGAGCAAACCCCAGGGAGGACCAACAGGTAAGGGTGGGAAGAAGACAGAAAATAACAGCCAGACGACGGGAGAAAACAGAAGAGGATCCTGGAGACCACCTTAGAATCTATCTAGTCTCATTTTCCTCTTAGTACTTAACACGCAACATCGTATTATATATTTATTCACGTATAGTCTGTCTCTCCCACTAGAATAAGAACTCCACTGGGGCAGGAGCTTTGTATCCACAGTTCTCAGAACAGGGCTTGGCGCACAGTGGGCCCTGGCGCATTAATTCATCTTCTGAGTGAGCGCGGAGCTAGCGCTGAGAAGCAGGTCCGCAAAAACCGGCACATCCCCAGTCCCATCTTTACATTCTGCAGTTCTGCACTTTGGCCAGTGGGTGGCGCAGCCATGTGCGTGAGGCTGCGGGTTACACGTTGCCCAGAACCTGAAAACAGGGCAGTTCACAAAAGCGAGCAGTGAGTGGATCTAAGCATAAACATCATTTGTCCACCTGCTTAGCAGACATCTGTCAAACACCAACCGCGAGCCAGGTCCATGCTTCCTCGAGCGCTCTGAAATCAGGTTGGGCTGAGGGGGTGCGAGGTCTGAACGCCCCTGGCACAGATGGAGCCTGCCCCTTTATGGGACAAAGGATCAGGATGAGGGCGGAGGGTTGGTGTAAAGGGCCCTGCAGGACTGTTGCAGCTTCAGGGCAGGTCCGTGAGCTCTCTAACTCTAGCGGAACGTATTCTGGGGTCAAACAAACCTGGATTTAAATTCCAGCTCTCCCACTTCCCTGCTGTGTTGGCTTAGCCAATATTGGCCCTTTCTTAGCCTCAATTTCCTAATCTGTCAAATGGAGATCCTAATAGTACCTGCTTCGAAGGATACTGAGAATAAAACAAGAGGCCCTTGGCACAGTGCCTTTCACAAAGCAGGAATATTATTCTTAAATAATTAAGAAAAATTAAATATTCTTAAAAATCGAACATAACCAATATTCGTATAGCTCTTTACAAAGCTATCTCAGCATTTGTTATATCATTAAGATAATTCTCATAATAACCCTGCAGATTTCTTTATTACCCACTTCCACGATAAGAGGACTATGGTTGTCAGATTATATAACTTGCCCACAATCCTACAGCTCGTAAAGTAATGGACTCAAGCCAGGTTTGGCTGAGCAAACAATCTGTGTTGTCCCCAGCGTGGCAGGAGCTATGCCAGGTGGTGAGGCTCACGGGTGGATAAGGTTGCAGTCTAGGGGAGGGCCAGCACATGCAGACCATTCCCAGAGGATGGGTTAGATATTGAGACAGACGGATGCCCGGACGGCTATGGGACCATAGACAAAAGTTACTTGGCCCAACTGGGAGATTCCAGAAAGGCCTCATAGACTGGCAGCCCCTTAGCTAAGTCTTGAAGGCTGAGTAAGAGTGAGCCAGGAAAAGAAGGGGAAAGAGAACTCCACATTCCATGCTAAAGAAATCCCATATGCAAAGGAATCTGTCATGAAACAAGAGCACTAACTTCAAATCCCACGTCCAGTGAGCAGTACGTGCCTTCTCCAACCTAACTCAGAAGTCACCGAGGGAGCCAGCGAAGGGCCCCTCTGTGTGCTCTCCTTGTCCAATGAGCCTTTCCCTCAAAGCACTCATTAGTTTGTAATTATTCCTTGGGGCTCTCTAGAGCAGTGCTCCTCAAACACTGATGTACATACAAATTATCTGGGGTCTTTCTTCAGTGCCGATTCTGGTTCCGGCGGTCCTGAGGCAGAGCACCAGTGGCTGCATTTCTAACAAGCTCCCAGGTGATGTGGCTGCTGCAGGTGCATCCCGGGCACACGCTCTGAGTAACAGAGGTCTCCCATCAGCTTCAAGAGGGCAGGCCGTGTCTGGCTTTACTCAGCCGTGATATGCACAGACTGGGACATGGAAGAGGCTGAGCGGGAGAAACGGAAGGAGGAATGTCGGAGGGAAGAATGGAATGCGGCTGTGCAGGACTGCCCCCGGGACACTGGACGAAGGAGGATTCCAGGTGTGAGGGCTGCTGATTAGGATGAGCCCAGAGGCCCCTGGGTGTCCTCCCTCTGCTCCAGTCAGCTCTCCCAGCATGAACACAGCCCTCTCTCTGGCCCTGCCTGAGTCCTGGGGCCGCAGCAGAACAGTGATGCCTAAAAGCAAAGAAACACAATGCCGGCAACAGACATCCACCCCCTGGCTCAGCCAGGTGTCTCTGAGCTGTCCCCATGCTCAGCCTGCAGCCTTCTCCCCAGCCTGTGATCCAGCCAATCAGACTGGGGTCCCTCCTCCACCAAGAGGACGGGTGTCGCCGAGAAGGCAGCTGAGAGCTACCCCAACAGCCGCCACAACCCCCCCAGCCCAGGCACCCCCTCTCCAGAGCCAGCAGGAAGCAGCCCATCCCCAGTGTCACACCATGAAGAGTTTCTGCACAGTTGTCCCAGCAAGCAAGGAGACTTCTCCCCTTTGCCCACCCCCACAAGGCTCACTCATCCGCCACCCCCAATTCTACGCACCCCCCCACACACAGTATAAAGAGTGCTGACCTCCGCAGCAGATGCCCATGACAGAGCCCTCACCCAGGGGGTCTTTCATTTATCCAGTCAACAAATACTGACTGAGCACCTGCTGTATGCAGGTGCTGATCTAGACACAGCCATACTGCAGGGCCAAGACACGTCATTCTTGTTGTCAGGGACCCTCTTTCTAGTAAGGGGAGACAGACAATAAATGAACTCAGTGATGAAGAAAACCAAGTGAGGGGCTGTAGTGGAGAGGAATTGAAGGGTTGTTATATAGGGTAGCCAGGCCTTACTGAGGATGTGACATTTAAGCGGTGCCTCATTGACAGGAAGAAGCCAGCAAGGCAAGGACGCAGAAAAGACTTTCCAAAAGAGAGAAGGGTGAGGTTCAGGGCCCGGTGCCAGGAATGAGCTTGGCTTATTGGCACACAGAAAGGCCGCGGGCAGCACAGGCAGGGAGGCGGGACCGGAGGAACTCAGGTCCCCGAGGCAGACCCCTCCCGAGCCCAAGGTGCAGGTGCTTGTGGGGAATGGAGAGGAGTTCAAAAGACATTCCAGGTAGAATGCGGAGCCCCTGGAGGGTTTGAAGCAGAGGAGCGGCAGGATCAGATTCAAGTTGTTAAACAGACCACTCGCCAGCTTTGTGGAGAATGCACTGTGCGTGAGTTGAACACAGTCCCGCCCTCCAAAGAGCTCAGCATCTGCGCGGGGCTCCATCATGTGCTGGGAGCAGGCAGATGGCCCAGCTGACCTCTGCACCTCTCTGGTGCCTCTGGCCCTGGGCAGTATAACCTTCCGTGTCAGTGCTGCTGAGCTGTGTCAGCCAACGCGCCCCGGTCAGCCATCATTGGAGACCCACCAGCTGGCTGATGGAGTGTCTGAGGAATCCCGGAAGCACAGCCAGGGCCCACTTGGGTGACCAGGTGGACTTTGGAGGAAGCCCCCACAGTGCTGCCCGTGGCCTGGCACCAAAAGGATTTTCCCAGCCTGTCCAGGCGAGCGTGGCCAACGGCAAACCAAGACCAAGGAGTCAAGTGAGCCTGACGCTGTAAATCACTGGGCACAGAAGCAGCAAGCAAGTCGACCAGCAACTCTGGAATGGGACGGAAACCCTCTGACCCAGCTCCACTCTGCCCTCTGTCCAGCTGATGTCCCATGCGAAATAAAGTCAGATGATCACCCCCAGCATATACTCTAGTCCAGAAGGCCAAGGCCTTCTGATCTGGGGAGCACTTCTCAGAGACAGCCACGGAGCTGGGTGGTGGTTCCATACAGCGTTTAGCTGCAGAATCCCTGGTTTCCATAAACTGGTGTAAAGAACCTTATTACATAAATAGGTGGAAGCTTTACCTCCCTGGTGGAGCCAGGATGCGCTTCCCAAACCCACTCCTATCCTCCCTCACTGGTAGCTTTGGGCAGCCACTTGTCTTCTCTGGCCTCAGTTTCCTTCTCTCTCAGTGCAGGACTGGACTGTGTCTCCCTGCCCCACCTCTCCACACGAGCCCCTAGCGCTTGGCCGCAGGGCTCAGAGAAAGTCCTCAGGGGCCCCCCAACACAGGGAGAGAGACGGGTGCCCCACATCACCCTCCCAGATGTGGGACAGTCTGTAGGGCTGGTGATGGGGAGGGGCAGAGCAAGGAGGCAGGCCCCCAGCCGCCTGCCTGAGTCCTGGATGACAGGAGAGTAGACTGCACATGGCCGCCACCCCTGCGATGGAGGATAATTCGCGCCGTCTGTCCCTTTCATGAGCAGAACCCCAGGTTCCCACTCATGCCAGCCCCTGTCTGAGGCTGGCTGTGGCCTCCTGGGGCCGGCGCCCAGCTCTGGGGACCCGCTCTGTCTGGGAGCCTCTCAGATCTTCCCAGGCTTCAGTCACTCAACAGTTAATGCATTTTTCCTGACTGACAACAAGCACAACAAGCAAAACAGTCAACTATTTTTATCTCCGGATTAATCACAAAAGGCTCACGCTTCCACCTTCCCTGTGATTAAAAATTAGGAGACCAAGCTCTATGTTGGTTGAGGATAATAACCAATCCTGTGAGGGGGATGGATGAATAATGCATCTCCAGGCTCCGGTGCTCCAGACTCTCTCCCCTCCCGGCTGCCCCAGCCCAGGGCCGGTCTGAATGTGTAGGTAATGAGTTGCCCCCCTTCCATTGGAACTACAGCTGCCAAGGGCGACTGCTGATTTCTATTCAGCCCACTGGCCCCCAAACATCCTTCCTCCTCACCCACCCCCTCCCCACACACCCCGGCCCGTCCGCACCCTGCTACCCCATCTGGTGCGCACCGAGGCGGAGGCCAATCAATAATGCATAGCTACATGAATAACCGGCACCATAACCACTTATTTGGGAAGATGTAATCAGGACCCATTCTGAGGGTGGATGTCTGTGTGTGTGCATGTGTGTGCGCCTGGGCACACGCAGCACAGTCCCACAGACCTCCCCTCATCTGCGCTCCCTCTAATCCAATATTCCAAAACACAGCCCTGGAGAGGCGGGAAGGAAGGGCCTGGCCTGCACTGTGTGTGGTTTTGGGAGAGGCCTCCTCTGTCTCCACTGCGAGCACAGCACGTCACGCCACGGAGCCAAGGCCTAGAGACGGTTCTCAAACTTGGTCATACACTGGAACCCTCTGGGGAGCTTTACAAACTCCCGGTGCTCAGGGTCCACCTGCAGAGGCTGGGACAGAGCTGGGCAGGGTGTGGCCAGCCAACAGGATTTTTAGAACCTCCCCAAGAAGGTGGTAGTAGGCAGCCAAGGGTGAGAACCGCTGTTTGAGACCCAACAAATGTCAGTGCCAGAGAAACTTTCCAGACCCCCCTGCTGCACTTTCACATTTTACGTCTGAGGAAATAAACCAGGAGAAGGGACTGCCTTCGCAGGTTGCCCTCTGATTGAGGCACGGTCCACAATACGGCACCACTTGGCTCATCACTAGGGAGGCCATGGAGACAAGGATTTGCTGTTGTCAGTGCCGCTGAGCAGATCCCAACTCTAGCAGCCCAGTGGACTGCAGAGCAGAACCCTGCCTGGTCTTTTTGCTCCATCCTCTCACCTTTCGGCGCTGTATCAGACAACGCTCCGCTATTCATAGGGTTTTCATGGTCAAGTTTTTCAAAAGTGGGTGGACAGGCCCTTTTTCCTAATGGGACAAGCACGGCCAGGCATTTATTCTATTCCTGAAGCTTCAAACGGTTCTTTCCAACACTCCTGCTCTGGGCAAGCTCAGCCGGAGCACCTCCACCCTGGGCACCTGGTGGAGAAAAAGCGACAGGATGAAGAAGGAGGAAGCGCCGGCCTCAGCCCTGCCTGCCTAGCAAGTGGCCTGGCCCACTGCACGCAGACAAAATTCCCCTCATCAGCAACTGTCAGCCCACCCCCATTTATGGAAAGCCCTCATTAGCCTCCCTTTTGCTCTCCGGCCACACCCACACCAAGGAGGCCTCTGGCACTAATGAGGGGGTAAGGGGTGGGTGGGGTGGGGACTGTCTCTATCGTCCAGCCCACACCCACCATCTGCCTGAGCCCAGGCCCCCTGGCAGGCAGGGCAGGGTTGGATGAGGCCAACTTCCTCCCTGGGCCAGGAGCGGGCAGAGTCCTGGAGCTGGTGAGAGCATCTTGGAAGGCTGAGGGTTGGTTTTTCCTCAGAAAGTAGAAACGGAGGTTGGCACTCACTGGACGGGAGTTCTGAACTAGGCCTCCTGGAGCCCGGGAGCGGGGGCAGAGCCACCAGCTGGAGGTGCACTGCTTTGGGTCCTTACCTGGCCCCAGAGCCTCCTGGAGTTTCCTGAGACGCCAGGGTACACCAGGAGAGTGGCAGCAGGGGGCGACCCTGGGCTGTGCAGCTCCTAGGGCGGGACTAGCCTGGAGCTGTCCAGAGCTGCTGCATCTGTCTTCCCCCAGCCCACGACCACAGGAGCTTGCACAGGGCCTGGGTGCCAGGATGGACCTTCTCTGGCAATGAGGCAAAGAAGGCCCTTTGCGCCAGGACCCCAACTTGTCACTCAATTACCCCTTCCTCCATTGACTGAGCAAACATGTGGCTCAGCCCTCCCCAGACCTCCAGAACTGACTGACCCAGCCCCTCCCTGGGCGGGGTAAGACTATGGATTCCTCAGGTGGTCTCCGGGGAGCCCTGCCCCATCTCTGGTTTGTCCAAGAAGGAGAGGCAGGGAGCAGCAGAGGCCTGAGACCCTCGATGTCCACAAGCACGAACATCAGAATACACTCTGTGACCTTAGGCCTGCCACTTAACTTCTCTGGGCCTCTTCTCCAAACGACGGTCATCTGCCACTGTCATTGCCCATCTTGCTTCCCATGGTCATCATGGGGGTCAAAGGGGTGACTCCATTGGAGATGCAAATGTTTATGGAGCTTCCGTCAGGCACCAGGTTCTCCACTGGGTGCTGTGGGAGTCAGGCTCCCCACGGGGGACATCCCTCTCCTCCTGGCTCTCCCCACCTCTCAGCAAGAGCCCGGAGTCTCAGACCAGCTATGTGAATGTAGTGGAAGTGTGAGAACCAGGACGGGAGACACTCTCGCTGGCTCTGGGAGGAGGGGCTGGGGCGCTCTGGAGGAAGGAAGTGCTAAGGAGATGAAGGGTTCACAGCCCCTGAAACCTTGTCCCAGCCTTGAAAAGTTGCCTGCCACCTGTCCCCTGCGAGGGAAGGGGCTGACCTGTGGCTCCATGCATCAGAGGACCTGGCTTCCAGTCCTGGCTCTGCCACTCATTTGCTGTGTGACCTTGAGCAAGTCACTTAATCCGGCTGAGCCTTAGTTTCCAGGTCTGTGCAATTAGGATAATGATACTGTTTACCTCACAAGATCGTTGTGAGGATTAAAGTAGACAACACATGTGACTGTGCTTTGTTTAAAAGTAAATATATAAAGTTAAAAAGAAAGGAATATGGCTGTTATTTCCGAGCGAGCTCTGCTTCCTGATCTGTGAAACGAGGCTAATGATGCCCGCCCTGTCCCCTCACAGGCTCGTCGTGAGCAGCAGATGAGAGGGCGACATGAACATCCTCTGCAAATAAACACGCAGTGCATATGTCAGGGATTATTGCTGATGTTGCTACTGTTATAATACAAGGGGATTACACATTTTATTAAAGTATGATAATTATTGTTTGTCATTGGCTCCATAAAATCCGCCCAGCCCAGCCTGCCAGCCCCGCGGGAGGGGAGGTGCCCTCACTGAACTCTCGACTCCTGTCCCCGCAGTGCCGCCCGACGACCCCGTCATCCTGGGGGGGCCTGTGATCAGCCTGCGGGCGGGAGACCCCCTCAACCTCACCTGCCACGCAGACAACGCCAAGCCTGCGGCCTCCATCATCTGGCTGCGGAAGGGAGAGGTCATCAACGGGGCCACCTACTCCAAGGTGAGGCCTGGGGGCGGCCTGGGGAGGGGCTGGCTCTCTCTAGGGCATGTCTCTCTGTCGCTTTGCTTCTCACTCTGTTTCTCTGTCTCTGTCTGTCTTTTTCTCTCTCTGTCACTTCCTCTCTCGTGCTACAGCTCCGTTTATCTGAGCTTTTCTGTCTCTCTCACTGTAACTGTCTCTCTCTCTCTCTTTCCTGGGGTCATTGCTGGGCTTGGTGGGGACCCTAGGAGCAGAGGAGGAGATACAGGGGCAGAAGTGGCCTGGGGTTGCCAGATAAAACACAGGATGCCCAGTTAAATTGGAATTTCAGATTAACAACAAGTAACTTTTTAGTATATATAAGTAGGCCCAAATATTGCGTGGGGCATACTTATGGGTCATACGTATACTAAAATATTATTCATTGTTTATCTGAAATTTAAATTTAACTGACTGTCCTGCATTTTTATCTGCTAAATCTGGCCACCTTTCCAGGGCTGTCAGGTAAGGCTGTTTAGGTTCTTCCTGCCCATGGTGCCTGGCTCAGGGGACAGGGAGGGAAATCCAGCCCGTTATCCTTCACCAAGCCCTGCGCCCTGCTGTGCCCGCCCGTAGGGGCACTTTTCTCTAATCCACACAAACTACCACGAGCTGGAAGTGCCTGGACTGGCCCCTGCATTAGTCGTGTTTCTTCTTTTCTATATTTTATGGTGCTTTGACATCCTGAGGCCTTGCAGAAAAGGAGGGACTTCCCCCTCCCAGGGTTGGCTAGTTCCTGGAGACAGCAAACACCATGCTGAGAACACACTTGATATGTGAACCAAACAATCCTAGGTCCATACCCTCACTACCCTCTTGCATCAGGCTCCTGTAGTCCCAGACACTAACCTCTGCCCTAAATCACCCAAGGCCAGGTACTGGATAACCAGAGGTCTCCCCCATAGCCCAGAGCCTGCCAAAATGATTCAAACTATCCAATCCAAGCCTGTTCAGCTGCTTACCCTGCCTTCATTCATTCTTTCCCACAAAACCACGATAAAGGCTCGCACCCACACTTTCCCTCCCTCCCTCTGCCTCCTGACTGACCCTGGTGCATCCCTCTCTGGCCCCATGTGGCCCCACCTCTTCAGAACTGTGTGTAACAAACTCCTTTCAGTGGTGGTCATCTCCTGCTCTGTTGGCCTCACCATACCTGAATAAAAACAAAATCCCAGACACATTTTAAAACAGCCCCCACCAAACTCCACTCAAGGAGACTGAAGAGACTCCCAAACAGGGTGTATGTGCCACAGAGCATTTAAAGATGAATGGGACCTCGGAGGATAGCCCGTCCAGCTCCTTTGATCTGCAGACAGAAAACCAAGGCCTGACAAGCGAAGTGACTGCCCTTCTCAGCTGACCAGCAGGCAGGAGCTGCGGCCTCATGATGCCCAGGCCCTGGCCCTTCCTCTGCTCCTCTCAGGATGGCCTCAGACAGACAGGCAGCTGCTCAGAAGCTGTATCAGGGCCGAGGGCAGGCCAGCACCCCAGGCTCTGGCACTGGAGGTCCAGACCTCCAGAACCCCGGCTGTCCTCTCCCAGTGGCTCTCCTTGGCCTCGGAGAGTGGGGAGCTACATGGCCTGCTCCCCACACCCACCCCACCACCAGCTTTCTTCCTGGGTCCTGGAAAGACAAGCAAGGCTTTCACCATCAGTGGAGGATATGAGGCAGGACTGTCCCTTCTCGGAGGGTGTGCCCTTCCTGTCCAAAGCTGACCACCTGCCAAGGAGTCAGCCCCAGGGCTGCCAATCAAGGCCTGGATCCCTGACCCCACACAGAGCCTGGTACCAGAACCCAGGACAAATACTATCTCTCAGGGGTAAGTCTACCCAGAAAGAAGCTGCCAATTGAGAGAGAAATCCCTCAGTCATGGCCTGGGCTGGAGCCACCCTGTTGTGTTACGAAATACAAAAATATGACCCACTAAATGTATCATCCCAACAAGGATGAAAAGACAGAAAAGGGTATTTCTCCCAGGCTGGGCATCTGTCCAGTTCCTCCCTGAAGCAGGGCCAGCCTGGCCCCTGCCAAGGCTTATTTCCCACAGAAGAAATGCCCCCCTCTCAGGTGAGAGAGAGCTCGGAGTCAGCCTGCTGGACCTGTCCAGGGGCCACCTTGCCCCCAGCGTGCTGTCCTCGTCCACATGGGGAAGGCGCCACAGAGAGCCTGGCACGCTGCTGTCGAAGCCCAGAGCAGGGCAGCCATGCTCCACCCTCGGCCCCCACCAGGTCCACCCCTGCCGCCTGTGAGGGAATGCGGTGCCTGGCAGCGGGGCCTGCCTCCAGTCCCTGCTCTGTGGAACCTCAGGAAGGTCATTCCCTGGGCCTCAGTTTCCTCGTCTGTAAAACAAAGGGGCTGGATTACACAGTCTGTCTTAATCTGCCGGGGCTGCCATAACCAAATACGACAGACAGGGGTTTAAACAGCAGACACTTATTTCTCACAGTCCTGGAGGCTACAAGTCCAAGATCAAGGTGTCAGCAGGGTTGGTGTCTGGTGCCACCTCTCTTCCTGGCTTGCAGACAGCCACATTCTCGCTGTCTCCTCCCTGTGTGCAGAGAGAAAGACTGTGACCTCTGGTGACTCTTCCTCTTCTTATAAGGACACCAGTCCCATTGGATTAGGGCCCCACCCTTATGACCTCATTTAACCTTAATTACCTCTTTAAAGGCCCCATCTCCAAATACATCACATTGGGGGTCAGGGCTTCACCATACGAATTCCGTGGGAACACAATTCAGTCCACAACAGCTGCCTGCCAGCCCCGACAAGCTGCAAACCTGTGACTTGGAGGACTTGGAGAAGGGCGGGTGGTCTGGCAGTGCTCCTCCGAGCCTGCCCTTTGCTGTCCTGTCCCCAGGACTGCGAGGACCATTAACAGAGGCTCTGCTGGTGTCCTGAAGGCAGAGTAGCCCCACACAGGCCGTGCATGGGGAGGGGCCGGGCCATGAACCGCTGACAGAGAGAGAGGGACAGAGAGCCAGAAGGAGAGAGCACACAGGTGCACACACAGTCCAGCGGAGTTTGAGGTCTGGAAAAGACCCTGCAGGGCAGCCCTCAGTCTTTGTCACATGGTGCGTGGTTAAGCCTGTGGGCCCAGGAGCTGGGCAGCTTCAATTAGAATCCAGGCTCTGCTGCCTTCTAGCTCTGTGATGGCGGGCAAGCTACCTAACCTTGTGCCTGAGTGTCACCGTCTGTACCACGGGAGCAGCAATAGCACCTGCCTCAGAGGATGATTGTGAGGCCTGACCGAGAAGAGTGCCTGGCAGAGTGAGCTCGCAATAAGCACAGCTGTTAGGGCCACTGCATGTCCCTCACTCAGTCCTCACGGGCCCCAGCGTCCACCTTGCCATCCACGTGTCCTAGTTGAGAATGTCGTGTCACAGCAGAGCAGGCCCCATGGCTCTAGAGACCTGTGTTCAAACGTGAGCTCCATCACATATTATGGAACTTAACCTCTGCCTCAGTTTCCCCAGCTGCAAAACAGGTTGATAATAACCATGGGCACCTGTTAGGATGCTCTGAGACTGAAAAGGAAGTATACGTTGAGACCACTGTGTGTGGAGGGGAGTCAGGCCTTCATAAATGTTAGCTGCTATTCTTGGGTCCCTCCTCCCAGAGCCCTGCCTCACCCACCCCAGGGCTCCCTCCCCAGAGGTCACACAGCAGCCCTGGCTTTGTAGCTTTGTAGAACATTCTTTCTGCTGTTCCACTGTGTGGCCAGCAGGGGAAGGAGGAGCTGGTAGGACTGAGGACAGCCAGGCCCTTTCCCTGGAGGAGAACAAGGAAGAGCAGGCACCTCTGGCCAATCAGCCAGCACAGGCTGGTGGTGCCTCTCCTTGAACACGGTCACCAGAGCGCCTGGAGCCAGCGTGCTTGCTGAGTGCCTGGGGCACCCAGCGGGTGCAGAAACCTGGGAGCCAGTGGCAAGGCCTCTCCCCAAGTCCTCTGTTCCTGGACACCAGCCTCAGGCCATCTTCTCTGGGACTGGCACCAGCATGGAGGCCACAGGAGATTCACTTGGAAAGCCAGCAAATACACAAACCAGGAGAGGCAGGACAGGTTGTGAAGAGGAAGGAAGAGAGGATAGGCTGAGCCCAGAGAGAAGTCTTTCCTGCGAGCCAGCCCCCTGCTCCATCTGCTACTTCCCAGCAGCTGCCAGGTGGGGGTGAGGCCTGGACCCTGGTGTGGGGCGTAGACAGGAGGTTGCTTGGTCGTGGAATGCACAGTCATGTACATATCTACCTTGAAGCCCCTGACCCTCCAGCCTCACCTCTCTGCTTCCTCCATCTTCAAGCTGCTGCCTGCCCAAGGGGACGCCCACCCACCACCAGGACCAACGGCCTCATTAGGGCCCATGCTAAGAGGAGCTCTGAACAACACCCCTCGGGGCCCTCACTGGGGCCCAGCCCCCTCCATGGGCCCCTCCACTGTGCACTCGCTCCCCACCAGTCACCCCAGCACCTCCCCATCCCAGCTGTCTATCTTAGGGGCCTAAGGCTCTATTCAGTGTGGTAGCCGCCACTCACTCTGGCCTCCTTTGTGAAGGGCATCCCCTCTGGCCCCAGGGCACAAGACTGGTGGTTCCAGAACGGCACAGTGCAGTTCTCCACCTTCTCTTATATCCCTTATGCAACTCACATGACAACAGGCCTTAATGGATTCCCCAGGCAGCTATAAAAAGGGGAAGCAGAGAGACGATAAAAAAAAAAAAAAAGGACACAGCAGGTGGGGGAGGTGAGTGGTGGGGGGGAAGAGAGAAGAGGCCTTGTTGCCAGGCAATCAGTCCTCTCCAAAGGCCTTTCCAAACTGTTTGCATATCAATAAACTTCCCATATTTAGCACCAGGGTTGGGGCACCCACCCACTGCATTCCCTCTGAACCTCCAACCTCCCTCCCCTGTGGTCCCTGGCACAGGCAACACCAGGGCTCCCACCTCTTGGGGCTCAGCCTGGCTCTCTACTGCTCAACTGAGGCCCTAGGGGCTTTGGAAAGAGCGGAGCAGCCACTGCTGCCCACACTGGACAATGGAACAAAGTGCATTACGTCCGCGGCCAGCCCAGCCTCGCAGGCCACTGCCCATTGAATGCCAAGTACCTGCTCTCCCTTGGTGGGCAGGAGCTGGGTGCACAGACAGGAAGCAGCACAGGGACAGGCAGGGTTTAGAGAAGAGCCCCAGGCCTCACTCAGCCCCTGGAACAGTTGGGAATGCTCCCTGGAAGCCGTTAGTGGACGGAAGCCCATGGACATGCACACAGGTGGAGGAAGGCTCCTGCTCGGGCACACACTCCTGTGCACGTGAGGCATATGCACCCTGCCCCTGGTCACGTCTGCACAAACCAGTAGGCTGGGTCCTAGTGGACCCACAGGAGCTGCCATCAGGGTCACATGGGGTGGCCTAGGCAACTTGGAGGCTGAGATCTGGCAGCACACTAGTGCCCTGGTGGACCAAACTGGAGGGAGGGCTGCCCCAGGCCCAGAAGGTGGTGGCCCCAGAAAGGAGTGACTTGCCATTAATAATCCACTTACCCTCCTGAGCTGATTTGCATGCTAATGGAGGTTTCTGAAGCCAGAGGTGGGGGAGCTGGGGCCCCCAGTGTGTCCCCAGAGCTAAGTTCAGTGAAGGGAAGACAGAGAGGAGGAGCTGGGAAGGGAAGGGAAGTGGGGCTGTGACAGGAATCAGCAAATGATAGAGTGTTCCACCTGGCCAGTACCTTCAAGGCCACAAAGTCCAAAGGTTTCATTTGCATATGAGGAAAAGGGAGATTTATAAGAGAGGAATGAAGGAGAAGAAAAGACAAAGAAGAAAAATAAGGAAGAAGGAAGTGACAGGCTAAGCAAGGAATGAGGAAGGGAGAAAAACTAGGTGAGACGGCAGGCCAAGCGCTGGCAAGCAGACAGGCCCCCCTCAGCCAAGGCCAGCTCTTCCCCCTGCGGGCTCGCCTCCCTCCCCAGGAGCATCCTAGCCCCGCACCTGCCACCCCAGCTGGGGCCCCTCGGGCTGGGGCCAAGGGAGGTGCTCAGGGCCTCCCCCGGGAGCTGCGCTAGGCTCCTGCCTTCCCCACGCTCCCCTTGCTTAATGAACACGTCTCCCTTTTCTCTAATTAGGTGGAACAAACAACTTGAACCAGAATTTTTATTTCCCAGAAAAGCTCACGCCCGGACACAGTAAATATGTCATTAATCATCATTCGAGGCGGAGGAGCACCCTGGGTGCGGGGGCAGGGAAGCAGTCAGCAGGCCTAATTAGGAGCTCAGCTCGGCCTCCCTTCCCCAGGCACCCAGGCGGCCCTCAGGCCCCACTGCCCAGAGCTGAGCAGCTGGGGAGTTCCTGGAAGAGTCAAGCTTGTGTAAATGTGACCTTGTTAGCACCATGGAAAAGTAAAGAAAAGGAAATGGCGAAGAACAATACCGACCTCCCGCTCCCTCCACCCTACCCTGAGGTCTCATTTTCGTTCAGGAAATTGTTCTTATTATCCCTTGGCTATTTATAGACACATGAGTTCTGCAGAAGAGCCCTGACCCCCACGCCTGTTACTGTGGTGCAGCCGCTGCTCCTTCTACTCCGCCTTGGCTTGGGGGACACCCTCCCCGCACCCCTGTTGGCTGGCCTCCAGTTCAACGCCCTGGCCCTGAGCCTGATCTGAAGCCCCTTACCCCACTGGCTGCTGAGATTGACCACATCACTCTTCCCCAGCCCCTCTCCAAGGACCCCTCTGTCCAGGGCTGAGGCCACCACCCCACATCCCAGGAAAGAACAGGCTATGAAGCCTCAAGCCGCAGGAGGCGGCGTAGGCCCCAGCAGTTCGAGAACATAGAAGAGAAGCCGTGCTGGCCTCTGCGTGCTCTTGGATCTCTCTGACATCTCGAAGTCTGGCCTCGTCTAAAGAAGTTTGTGCTGCTCTAGACAGAGACTCAGGTCCCGCTCTCCCAGGGCTGGAGGCCACAAGCTTTGCCCCACGTTAAGAAGGACCACACTGGACTGTGGGCCCAGAGAGCAGGTTCTAGCAGCCTCCACGTTGCTGCCAACCAGCTCAGTGACCTGGGAGGCTGCTTAACTGAGACAACTGCTCCCACCTCTAAGCGGGGATCATGCTGACTGATGTGGGATAGGCGAGCCGAAGAGTTGAAAGAAAGATCTCTTGAACTCTCAAGGTCTGGCAGTAGTGCTCTTTTATTTAGAGAATAGTGTGGAATAGCATGGGGACAGGACCAATGGGCAGTAAAGAGCTGCTGCAAACATGGGTTGAGAGTAGGGCTAAATTTAAGGCATAGGTATGTGAGTTATCTCTTTACAAGACAAAGGAAAGAATATGTAAAAACTGATGTTAAAATGGTATCAGTGCAGGTGGGGTCTGGTTATTGGGTGGTCCTGTAACTTTTAGATAAGAATCAAACTGGATTAGGTAAATGGCAGAAGCCACCACCTTAAATATTATCTTCAGCTAAAGACAAAGGAGGATGTTGTTGGGGGGCGGGGGGCTCAGTTACATGAGGTTATCAGACAGTAAACAACTTAAGTCCTTGCCTTCCCCATTAAGAGTTTCCAGAGATAAGGCCATCCCTCCTTCCTCCTGGTGCAGAGAGGAAGATACCCCCCACAGATGGAGACTTCCTTCACAAATGCAAATGTCTCTCATCAAAGGGCAAGCAAATTCCACTCCTCAGAGCCTCCTTCTCATCTGCAGTTTTTAAAAGTAACCAGCCTAAAATAATCCCCATCACTGACCACTCTCCAGCTCTCAGGGAGCTGTGCTGGGAGGGTCGTGGGCTCCGGCTGATGTGGGCTTTGTGAGTCAAGGAGTCGAAAGAAAGATTTCTTGGACTCTCAAGGTCTGGTAGTAGTGCTCCTTTATTCAGAGAATAGCATGGAGTAGCATGGAGACAGGACCCATGGGCAGTAAGAGTTGCAGTGGGTTGAGGGTAGGGCTAAACTTATAAGGCATAGATATGTGAGTTGTTTCTTTACAAGACAAAGGAAAGATCATGAAAAAAGTCATTAAAATGATATCACTGTAGGCAGGGTCTGGTTATTGGGTGGTCCTATAACTTTGGATAGAAATCAGGTCAGATCAGGTCAGGACGTCAGTCCTCTGTTTCCCGGAGGGTGATATAGATCAGTGTGTAGGGCAGGGCGCCTTGGGCTTCTCTCCCTGGGGCAGCCTTGATCGTTATCATGGCCACCACGCTCAAGCACAAACTCCAGCCCTGCCCAGCAAGTTCCTGACTCACTCTGAACTCAGTTTTCTCTCATGCTAAATAGAGATAATGCACCCTTCCTTCCAGGGCCTGGCGAGAATGAGACGATACCGTTGTTATTTTAAGGGAGGTTGGAGGAAGTAGAGTCTGTTCATCTATTCCCTGTCTCGGGAAAATAAGATTGCACCCTGCCCACCTCCCTAGAGGGGGTCAAGTCCCTTCTAGGGGTGGCGATTCAGAAGCGGCCCCCCTGCCCAGCACCCCTCCCCAGCAGCACCTACCTCAGTGGGTCTCCAGTGAGCTCGGGATACAGGCTCCAAACTAGTGGAAAGGTAGCTAGAGTGGGGTGCAGCAGAGGGAAGGGGGAGCAGCAGTGACGGGAGAATAGCCACCATGAGCCATGACCTCATGGTCCCAGGAAATAAAGGAACAGAAGACAGGAGACCAAGGGCTTCAGGATCGCATTAGTTTCCTAGGGCTGCCCTAACCGAGTACCACAACAGGTACTTAAAACAACCGAAGCTTATGGGCTCCCAGTTCTGAGGCCAAAAGTGTGAAGTCAAGGTGCCGGCATGGCCCTGCTCCCTCCAAAGGCCCTGGGGAATCCCTCCATTCCTCTCCCAGCTCCTGGAGGCTCCTGGCGTTCCTTGGCTTGTGGCGGCATCACTCCAATCTCCGCCTCCTCCTCCATATGGCTCCTCCTCTGTCTCTCTGGTCCTCTCCTCTTCTGATGAGGACACCAGTCATTGGATTTAGGTTCCACTCTAAATCCAGGATGGTCTTGTCTCAAGATGCTTAGCTAATTACTAATTGCTTAACTAATCTGCGAAGACCCTCTTCCCAAATAAGGTCACATTCTGAAGTTCTGGGTGGACATGAATTTGGGGGGACACTGTTCAACCCACTGCAGGACCCTCTTACTTACTTTACCCCCAACTTGAAGTGTGAGTTTGGTCAAGCCCCAAAGCCTCTCTTGATCACACCTGTCTTCTCAGCTGTCAGATGAAAATAATGGCGCCTGTCCTGCTTATGACTTGTTCAGGGCTCTAATGAGATCAGGAAGTGAAACACTTCGAAAAGCTGCGGAGGTTTATATAGATAAAGTAATAACACATTCAGTGTACATTGATTCTGCCCGCATACCCCTCCCACCCCTCCTGCTCTTACCCCCAGGCCCCACAGTGTGCCCCCTGCCACAGACTGCATCACTGCCTCAGGTCCCACAGCAGCACCTGTGGCTCCCATCTTAGTGCTTCCTGGAGACTAGAGACTCCCCCGGACCAGAGGCAGATAGATGCTCACTCATTTCTACATAGGACCTGCAGCCTGGTTTCTGTTGGGCGCAGCCTCGTTTCTTTTATGCTTTGGGGTATGCAAGCCCAGGCTGATTTTTGTGCATGATGGAAAACTTTCTAGTCCCTTTTACCTTCCCCAGCCCAGCCCTCAGCCAGGCCAGGGAGCAAGGGTAACTCCCGGCTCTGTGCAGAGACCAGTGCCCCTAGGTGTCCTGAACTGACCTGCCTCCATCCACAGGGCTCCCTCCTCCTCTCTGAGGCTGGGGCATGTCCTCCCCTACCTGCTCAGACCATCCCAGCCGAGTGACGTGGGGCCCTCTCTCCCTGCCCCCCAGACCCTGCTTCGCGATGGCAAGCGGGAGAGCATCGTGAGTACCCTCTTCATCTCCCCCGGCGATGTGGAGAACGGGCAGAGTATCGTGTGCCGAGCCACCAACAAAGCCATCCCCGGAGGGAAGGAGACCTCGGTCACCATCGACATCCAGCGTGAGTACTGATCGGCCTGGACCTGGGGGGGACCACATGGCCCCTGGCCCAGAGCACAGGTTGAGGGAAGGGGCCAGGCCTGGACAACCAGCTCACCAGAACCACACCCCAGCATCTTCAGGCTCCCTCCCCATGGGATGCGAGATGGCTCAGCCAGCTCAGTGGACTGGCCAGGTTTGTGTTTATGGGCACCCAAAGGATCAGCTTATCCTTCTTATTGTCACATGAAGTAAAAACATCACAGATGAGGGGCCGGCCCTGTGGCTGAGTAGTTAAAGTCCGACACGCTCCACTTTGATGGCCCAGGTTCGTGGGTTCAGATCCTGGGTGCAGACCTGCTCCACTCATCAGCCGTGCTGTGGAGGCATCCCACATACAAAGTAGAGGAAGATTGGCACAGACGTTAGCTCAGGACTAATCTTCCTCAAGCGAAGAAAAAGAAAAAAGAGGAAGATTGGCAACAGATGTTAGCTCAGGGCGAATCTTCCTCACCAAAAAAAAAATCACAGATGAGGGTCCTGTGCAAACAGCATGTTCAAGTCATATTTCCACACCTATATGAGGTAGAACCTCCACATCAATAAACATCATGGTCAGCCCCTGGCCCTGCTGGCCTAGCCAGGTGACCGCATACCTGCCTTGGAGGGGAAGCTGGAGCAGAGATGCTGGGAGCTGAAGGATACCCGGGGCCTCCAGAGTGCGGAGACAGCACATGCCTGCTAGCGGGTATAAAGAGGCCCCTCTATGGAAGGTCAGTCAAGGAGAGAAGAAGAAGAAGAAGAAGAGCAATTATTCAGTCAGCCCATACATTCCATGTGTTATCTCACTTAATCTTCACAGCCATTCGGAGTCGGTATGACTGTGGTCCCTATCTGGGGAAACCGAGGCACTCAAAGGTTAATTAGCTTGCCCAAGGCCACGTAAGTTTCAGATGTAGGCAGCCCAGCTTCCCACACTGGTAACCCATCTTCTGCATGTCCACTTGGGGAGCCTCAGCAAGTGTCAGTTATTACGAGTAATACTAACCATAATGATGCTTTAAAGCTCTACCAGCATCGTGCTCCAAAAGTCATCTAAAGAGCCTCCTAAAGGCCTCCTAACAGTCTCCCCAAAGTGCCCGTCACCCCAGAGAGCAAGAAGCTCCCAGGTGGTCCAGTGGCCTTCCTCTCAGTACTGGCCTAGTTTAGGTTTGAAGCATCAGCTGTCAAAGGTCAACCGTTCTTCTTTGAAGGCCCCTCCCTGCCAGAGGCGATGATGCCACCACGTGCTGGTGGCTGCTTTGGTCGTAGGCTCTGAATGACAAGGCTGGAGGTACTGGCATTCACTTCCACCTCATCATTTTATTCATTTTAAATCAAATTCATTTGAAAACACTTCTCGACAGCCCTGGTTGGACTCTGCACTCCGCGTGGCTCTCCAGGAAGCTGGAGTCCAGGGGAGCGGTATCCTAAGGTTTCCAGAGCCCATCCTGGGAGCCAGAGAACAGAAGTTCCCACTCAGCCTCTAGAACCCTGGCAGGTGCCGTTCAGATTCCAGAGGGCAGAAGAAACAGTTGTAACCCTCAGATGGGGTCGCTCTAGACACCCAGACACAAAAGCTGAGTTCTCGGAGAAGGCTTTATCTTCCTTATCTTGCCACCAGCTACTAACTCCCTTCTCCCTCACAACCTACACCAGGCAGAAGGGCTCTTCTTCCATCCTTCATTCAATGAGAGCCAAGAACAGCAGGCCTCTTGCCAGGCCTAGGCCCAGGGTGACGGGAGCGAGGTGCTCACATGGAGAGTCATGTGAGTACAGGGTCGCCTAGAGAGGAATGCCACCCTCCCCTGGCCCTGGTCCAGGGCCTGGCTCTCCACACTCACCTGCTTCTTCTGTGTGGCAGCTGGGATGCATAGCTGTAAGCCCAGCTCCTGAGCAAGCATGATGCTGTGGGATCAGGTTGTCCTTTATCAAGGAAGGCAGCACTGCCCATGAGCTGTGGGGGCCCAAGCATGTCACTTCACCCCAGGGACTCCAGTTCCCGTCTAGTTTGACCGAATGGCATCCAAGGTCTCTTCTTGCCCAAAACTGACCATGAACCAGAGCACTTTCCAGACACAAGCCAAGTCTGGGGGGAATGAGGGTGGGAGACTCAAGACATCCAAGCCTCCTTCTGCCAGGTTGCTGGTGTGACCACTGCAAAGCCTGCCACCTCCTTCCTCAGTCTAGTCAGGAGGCCTGTGCCAGCTATGGAACCCCACACAAGAGAACCCATCCAGGATGCTCCCTGCGGCGGCAGCCTGGGCCCTGATGGGGAGAGATCAGAAAGAAGCAGTGTTTCTGCTCCAGGCCATTATCACCTCTCCTGTCACAAGAAAGTCATCATAACAACAGCCCATCCTGACTTTAAAAGATATTCTTCTAAATTCACTCTAAAAAATGGTCAGTTTACGTCTGCATCAGAGGATGCCAGCCTTGCTAGGTCTCTGGGCCCTTGCTGGCTTCCTTTCCATGGACGGCCCAGCCATGGGAGGAGAGAGCGTCAGGAATGAGATCAGCGGCCCCTCCAAGGCAGTACAGGTCGTGGTTAAGGTGCAGCATTCTTCCTGGTTTGAATTCTGCCTGAGTGATGTCAACCTGGTTATTTAACTTCTTTGTGCCTCAGTTTCCTCATCTGTATGTGGAGGTAACAGTGCTCACCTGGTACGGTGGCTGTGAGGATTTAACTAAACCATTCGGGGGACGTCCCTAGCACAGCTCCTGGCACGTGGTGAACACTGGGCACCTGCTGGCTCTTGTCAGCAGGCACAGTCATGGATATGTGGCTGCCCCTCCCCCGGTGCCCCCGCAACCCTAACAGAGAAGAGGTCTCCATCCACTTGACCCCTTGCGGAAGGTGTCTGCATGTGTCTGCCAAGCAAAAGCACACACTCTCTCCACCCCCGCCTCCCCCTCCTTCCTCCTCCATTTATTCATTTGCTCATTCAGTAAGCGTCCAACTGTTTACTGTGGACACCACGGGCTGGATCAGAGCTGCCTTTGCAAACCTGCTCATTTTCTCAGTCAACCAAGAAGCATCCAAACTCAGCAAAAGCACATTTGTTGTTTGTTTCCCTTGGTCTGTATATGTTACCCAACGGAAGACAAAGCCCCCAGATTGAGTAATGGGAGAGAAAGCTTAACACCCGCAAAGCCTCGCTACATCTGGACTCTGCAGCCAGCTGCCAAGTTTCAAATGGATGTGCCATAAACTCACTGAGTCATGGAGTTCTCTCCTTTCCCACCCCTCCTCAATGCACTTCTTCCCCTGAACACACTCACGCACGCACACACACACACACATATGCTCACGAGCACAGGTTGCTGATGGAAACACTAACAGACTCTCAGCTGTAACATCTGTTCAATGCGATCTCAGTTCCACCAGCTACATCAAAGCTGCCCTCCTGCAAGTTATGCAGCCGACATCACAAGTGGGATTAAAATCATGTTTAATAGTTGGATATGACATAAACTATTTATGCCTCTGGAACCTGGTGGACTCCTGAAAATTCATATCCTGCACACACAGAGGAGAGGGGTGGAGAGAGGGACACCGGCACCTCTAGGCCTGGGGTGGAGGTGCAGATGAGACTGAGAGTGTGAGAGCTTCCTAGGGGCCCATTCTCCTGAGGCCTTTCAGGAGAGGCTGGGTGTCAAGGATATTGCAAAGAAGTAGGGAAGCTGCAGGAGAGAGGCAGCCACAGGATAAACAGAGGATGGCAGGTACCCGATGGAGGAGGGGATCAGGCAGCAAGAGGGGTCCTCCAACAGGTGTGTGTTCCATCTCCCTGCTCCCAAAGACTCATCATTTTATAAAGGATGCCCAGGTGGGGACAGGCCTCCCGGAACTGCCCCCTCAAGTTCTGCAGTGGGTTTCTAGATTCTATCAACTGGCACCATCACTTCCTCAAATAGCTGAATTGAGGCACTCCCCTCCACCTGCCAGTATGGAATTTTATAATGTGAGCACATGGGTCAGCCCTGCATTTGGATCCAGGTGGCAATTACCAAATGCCTATGCCTCTGGATCTGCTTCTCCAGCCCACGGGGAGGAGCAAGCTCCTCCCTGGGTCTCCAAGTCTATGGAACCCACAGACGCCCAGCCTAGCTGGCCAGCCCTGCATGGAAAAAAAGCTGGGACTCTGATTAGATCGGCCCTGGAAGCTGGTGGTCCTTGGCTGGGTAGGCCAGGATGCACCCAGCTGATGAGCAGCAGCTGGGGAGAAGCTGCAGGATTCTAGGGATGGGAGCTCTCCCGGGAGTTGGGAAGAGAGCTCTCGTGGCTAGTCCCTGCCGTATGCATCTTTGTAACCACTTGAACCACTTTAAAAACAAGATCGAGATCACTGAAATACCTGTCACTTCCCTGGTGATTCTCCAAGAGAAGGCAGGCAAGCTGGCTGCCCCAGGATCGTGGTCCCCCTCAGGAACTGGGAGTTAACGTGGGAGGGCGGGCCCCTAGCACAGTCGGCCACCTGCTGCTCAGGAACCAGAGTTCTCCCCCCCCCCACCTCCGATATCTTCACAGGCTGTCTGCAGAAACCAGCGAGCCCCTGTGGGCCACCTCCCAGGCCCAGCCCCCGTGCCCCAGCAATGGGAGGGGAGGCACAGCCCAGCCTGAGCGCCAGCAGGGTGTGGGGGGGCCAGGTGGTCAAATGATCCCAACTCTGGGGTGGGCTTGTCTCAGTCCACAGCTGAGGGGCTGTGCGTATGACTCTGAGTGTCTCAGGATGCCCCCTGTCATGTCAGCCAGAAGCAGAGCCTGGCAGAGTAGAATCTTGCCCGCCTCATGACTGCCCTTCACACGTACCCAGAGGGGTCAGCATCTTTCTCGATGGTCTCTGAGAAACCGGCTTCTTTACTTCTTTTTCTGAAAATGGGCTGAACCCCTAGAAAGTCTTCATTACTTTCCAGCAATTTGCTCGCTTATTGCTGAGGACTGACCAGAAGATGTGGCCCAGGGACCTGGCTAGGCCATGGGAACCAAGCTGCCCTCTTAACTCAGCCTAGAGTTGAACTGCAGCCAGACCTCCAGACCATGAGGAGAGAGATGGGCACTGGTTGTCATCTCCCCTCCCCTGGAGCGGGGTGCCTGGGGGTGCCAAGTCTCGCCGTGCATGCCCAGGAGCACGGATGTTATCGGCTTTTAGAGAAGGTCCCGAGCCAATTTCCCCTGTGCTCAAGAGGGCAGGCTGCCTCGAGGCCTTTCTCCACCTCTCTCTCTGCTGTATTTCCACCTTTATGTCTCTCAGCGTCTGTTTCTCCCTATCTCTTCTCTCTATTCCTCATTATTTTCTTTGGTCCTTCTCCCCAACACCCTGCCGTCTTCTGTCTCCATCTGCTTGGTCTCCCTTGGTCTTTTTGCTTTAAGTCTGAAGTCTTTGACTATGTGTCTCTGTGATTAGGTCAGTTTCTCTGTGTGTCTCTTTCTGTCTCTCTGTTTCTCTATGTTTCTCTGTCTCTTTTTCTTATTCTTCCTCTGTGTTTCTCAATCTCTCTCTCTGCCTCTGTCTGTCTCTCTCTGTCTCTCTGTCTCTGGTCTCCATGTCTCTCTCCTATGTAGGTATCTCTCTACCTGCTTCCTATCCCTTCTGTCTCTATGTCTCTGTTTCCTGTCTTCCTTTCTCTCTCCCTCTCTCTGATTTCCTGTCTCCTTCACCTCCCACCATTTAGCTCTTCAGAGCTTGGCTTCTCATCATGTTGAATGAGAAAGACGAGCCCAGCCTGGGGAGCCGCAGGCTGGGTGACACCAGTCAGGACTCAGCAGAGATGATTAGGCTGATGAAAGGGTGTAAATGCCACTTTCAAGCTAACGGATGCACTAGAACCTTTACATGAAGAGATATGAAATGACATTTCAAAGGCAGAGAGTTTGTATTTAAATGGGCTTAGTGTCCACCCTCCCCCTCATGCCCCCTGCATCTCCTCTTCCCACTTCTCCTTTCTGAAGTGTTCTGCTCTCCCTAAAAGCTGGAAGATAGGCAGCATGCTCCTGGGGGCCCAAGCTTCCTTGCTGGCTGTTCATTTAAACACCAGGCCTTGACTCCACAGAGCGAGCCTGACCCCACCACCAGGACTGCCTGAAGCTGGCACCTCCATGGAGTGGGGGAGCCCCTTGCTAAGGCTCCCAACTTTCTGGGGACCACAGGGGCGGTGGCTGCTCCGAGGGTCCCTAGGTCGTAGAATCTCTGGCCTTTACCCTCCATATTACCCAGGGGGTCTTCCTGCCCCACGCATTCCCAAAACCACGGACAGAGCTCCCCAGTCTACAGGGGGATCTCTTCTCTCTGCAGACCCCCCACTTGTCAACCTGTCGGTGGAACCACAGCCAGTGCTGGAGGACAATGTTGTCACATTCCACTGCTCTGCAAAGGCCAACCCGGCTGTCACCCAGTACAGGTAAGAGTCCCTGTTGAGGAGGCATGGCCTGGCCACTGGACCCCTCTGCACCCCTGCCTGTTACTGGGGTGTCACTTGTGGTCCTGGGCATCCAGTACAGAGCTTGGGTCACTGTGGGTACCCAAGATCCCCTCCCTTCCCCACACACCCCTCCCCCTTCAACCTCCCCCAACTCCCCCCTCCACCCACCCAGCCAGGTAGACTCCCTCCCCTTCATGCACACAAACACTCCCTTTCCGGAGGCAGTAGGTATCACCTCTTCTGTTTGAGTGGCTTGTTTACCCCTATTTCTGAAAAGAGTGATTGAGGCTCAGGAAGAAAGTTAAAACAACCAGAAGAACCAGTAGGATCAGAACCTGGATTCTAGCCATGTGCTCACCAAACTGTTGACCTGGGCAGGGTAGGATTTCTGGGACGGCCACCCTGCCCAGCGACGCCAGGATCATTCATACCCACGGCCCCTGTGCAGCCTTGCTCACAACACTGATAAAAAGCATCACTGCTTTTTACGTGCTTCTCTTCCTTGTTGACTGAGCTTCTTGAAGGCAAGAACTGCAGTTTAGTCACGTATAGCTCTCAGCATGGCGCACAGTGTGTGGCCTGTACTAGGTACTCCATAATGTGGGCTGACTGACTGGATAAACACACAGAGCGGCTCCTCTGGGTACCTTCCTGCCTGTGCGCATCACTGCACAAGATTTCCAGAGACGAATGACCTCAGAGGGTTTCAAGGGCAGACTCAGACCCTCGCCTCCCTTACAGGCTGTGGAACTAGCCAAGGCCCTAATTCTGCCCCATCCCTTTCCACTATCCCAGACCTGATGGAGGAGCCCAGAGGTCACCCTGCCATGGAGACGGGTTATTAAGCTGCAGCATCAGCCAGTGCCAGAGATGCCAATGGTCCCAGGCTAGGAAATAAGCCGGCCAGTGGGAGGGGAGGACAGGGAAGACAAGAGGCAGTGCCACCCAGAGGGCAGAATGAGAGGAAATGGGCCAGAGAGGCAGCCAGAGATTCAGGTTGGACATAAGGAGGAGCTCCCTGCAGTGCAGATAATTAAACAACACTGGAACCAGAAACCCAGGAAAGACACAGAATCTTTATCCTTGAGGATGCTTTAAAAGAGATGAAAACCCATCTGCCCTGTCCAATTTAGCCGTTCACTGGGTTAGAGGCAGGAGAAAGATCAGACGACCTCCAGGCTTCGTGGAGTCGTGCAGCCCAGCAAGTCCTGGGCAGGTCTGGTTTGGCCAGGACCTGGCATCTGTCTAAAAGTGACTAAAGATGCAGAAGGAGACCCCTGAGGAGACTCTCTTTCTCATCTGTGAGGCCCGGCTCCTCTTGACAAGGTCGGCTTCTCTCTGCTGTCTGCTCCAAGCTTTCCGCTCACCATCCTCAACACCAGGTACCCTGTGCCCAGACATACTTCTAATGCTGAGCAGCCCTTCACTCCCACAGACCACCAGGAAGGCTTATTGGAGCCCACAGACCAGAGCATACAACTTCCCACTTCCATTACTCTTCGCTGCCAGGCTCCAGTCATCTGAGGACCTAGCGATGGGAGGGCCGGGCAGAGGGCAGGTCCTGGCTCCCGGACCTAGCTACATCCCCTCCCACACCTGCCTTCTGACGGGGACAGGGGGCAAACATCAAGAAACCAGGCTGCTGGGCCTGATCCCCAGGGTCACCACCCTCAAAAAGCAGAACAACAATGATGGTGGGAATAATAAGGGATGAATCTACACAGGGGGAGGTCATCACAAAGCAAACATGGCACGATATTAACAACCGGCAAATCCAGTGAAGGGAGTATGGCAACTAATTGGACTATTCTTGCAACTTTTCTATAATTTCAAAGGGTGTTTTTTTCAAACTAAAAAGTTAATAAATAAAGAAACAAACAAGCACAGAACGTGCAGGTTTCCTTAGGCTGTGGGTATCCTGTGGTTTCTCTCATCTCCCTCCCACCCTGCTGCTCACAGCCACAGGCCAGCCCCTCACACCCAGAGGAGTTGCGAGGTATGGGCTGGGCAGAGGTGCACATTTTCTTACTCATCACCTTCCCTCGTGGCCTTCTGATTAGCCAAAGCCCCTGGAAACGCTTCCGCCCAGATCAGGCCCCCTCCAGAAGTCCAGAGGCTTCTGGGAGCTCTTCTGGCCACTAAGAAAATGTGGGAGAGCCAGGGTTACCTGGGAAGGTGGAGGGGCGAGCAGCCGCGGAGAGAGGAGGCAGCCGGCCTGCACCCACCTCACTGCCTCAGCCCCCTCGCTTTGGTAGGGTCTCCCCCAGCAGGCAAATGGTCCTTCTAGATGCAGCGTGGGGATCCAAGAGGACAACGCTTAAGCAATTCCCAACACAGCGTACATTGATTTTTCCCTCCTGACACTGACAAGCTCACAGGGATCTTTGTTTCTTGCTTGCACTGTCTTGATTGCTTCCTCCCTGTTTCACAGGAGAGGCTGTGATCTGGGAAACTAGAGATAGCCCTCCTCCACCACAGCCCAGAAAGGGGACATGGGTGGCCATGGGAGTGCATCCAGTTGGGCTAGCCGTAGCTTTGGCTGCCCCGCTGCACCCGGGCCCGGGTGAGCAGAACGGCCCGGGTGAGCAGAACGGCCTGGGTGAGCGGAACAAGCCCGAGCACACCATGAAGTGCTCCTCCCCACCGGCTTCTCCTACTCTCCTCTGAGGCTCCCTCGGGGCCCCAGCAGGTACCGGGAGCAGGGACCACTGCCCAGTGTGAAACACGGGGCTATCTCAGGACAGCCTGTCGGCTGTGACATGCCAGGCCTCCTGATCCTGCGATATAAATAATTAATCCTCTTACATTGGCTCAGGCCAAATTAGACATTAATTGGGAAAGGCTTAATCTGACTCCTTTCCAAGGGCTGGGAGAGGTAGTGAAAGCCACAATGGAGGCAGGGGGCCCAGGGTGGCTAGGGTAAGGGGACAAATTGGAAGGAGGAGGAGGAAGTGAAGCCCAATGCAGGGGAGTAGACAGAAGAGATGGGAGAGGGTGGACTTGCCCTCTGGGCCACCCTTGATCCTGTAGCCAGCTGCTTGAATGAGTGCTTGGAGCTTCTGGAAGGGATCCCCACAGAGGGGTTCTTTGGTGTGGGAGGGGGATAAAGGAAGAAAAAGACTAGCTGAGTGAGATCTGAACAGGGCATTCTTGGGATGTCCCAAAAAGGCCTTGGTCTTGGGCACCTGAGGGCCCAACCCCCACAGCCGGCTCCTGTCCACGACCCTGGGGGAAGATAGTGTAGGAATTCTCCTGCTCCCCGCTCTGCCTCTAAGGTGGGGACAGAACCTAGGGAGCTAAGGGCAGCAGCTGCACAGACAGGCAGGATCTGACAGTGCTGCTCTGCTGGGGACAAGAAAGCTGTTGGCCAGCCATCCCTTGGGATCCCAGGCCTGCGGGAGCCCCGGCAGTTCTCTTGAGCTCCTCAGGGCCGAGCGGGTAGAGCTTCCACCCTCGACAACTTCCACTGTGAGAGGCCCCAGATGGAGAGGGGAGAAAGCCGCATTTTCTCCAGGAGCCTCTCCAGGGATGAAAGAGGACTGCCCATCGGAACCCGCGGGCCGGGCCCACACCCGCCCCCAGCCCAGCATCTGGTGCTGTGAGCAGCCAGGAGCAGGGACCCAGGCAGACTGGGAGGGGCTCGCCCTGCCCTCCTCCCAGGCCAGCTGGCCTCCCCCCGCATCCGCCACCTGACCTCCCGCTACAGCAGGTGGAAGGAGTGGAGGTTGGACACAGATCCCCAACTGTGTGTATGTCTGGACTAAATTAATCCACCTCAGGCAGGGGTGGGCCTGACTATTAAGTCCGGTCATTAAATTAAAGTTCGAGATTGAAATGATTCATGAATAACTCATACTGGTTTGTTGGGAAGCTCCTTAAGCTCTCAGGGAGCTATGGTTTGCTCTGCTGTTAGACTATAATTGTTATTATTAATCGTGTTCTTAATAATTACCCGATATTAATTCACAATAATAACCACATGGTGCCAGCCTGGGTGCTCTGCATGATGCTGAGAGATGGCCGTCTCTTGGGGCTGGACAGGCCAGACTGAGCAGGACGCTAATGGAGGGAAGGGCAGGAGATGGTCCAGGAAAGGCTCTGGGAACACAGGCAGGGCCAGGAGGGAAGCTGTGGTTACAGGGAGCCATGGTCACGGGGTAACGGTCGTGGGGGCTGAGGAAACTCTCCAGCTGTGGTAAAGACATACACCCTGAAATAGGCTTGAATTGTAGTAGGAGAAGCCTGGCTGGAAGTTCGTGATTTAAAAAAAAAATGTGTTGTCCACAATAGGATTAAACCAGGGAAGCAATGAACTCTCTCTCCTTGGGGATCTGTAAGGAAATCCCCCACCCTCGGCCATGCACACGCACCCTGGGGCTCCCAGCACAGCCCCACAGATAAGAGGCTGCCTGGTCACTGCTCCCATGGAGTGATCGCCACCCCAAAGCCAGGAACAAGACGGGCCTGAGGTTTACTGGCTGCTCCCGTCTAGTGGTACCCATCGGGCAGGTGGCTGATGAAAGCAATCAGCACAGCCTTCTTCCCGCCGTCCTGCAAGCTAGGACTGATGGGCCAAGCCCTCTGAGGAGTGAAGCCAGGGTACAAGGGTGGGAGCTGGGCAGGAAAAAGAGCAGTGCCATGCCCCAAAATAGAGGGCTGAAAGGGCTTTCAGGGAGAGAGGGGGCATCATGCAGGGACCCACCTTGGAGACAGGAGTCAGGACAAGAGAGCTGAGAGAGCTGGCCAATGGGAGGGAGGGGCAGTCAGGACCACTGGCTAACACTTCTCCATCACTTTCTTGCCTTCTCTGGAAATTAAGCCTCCTGGAGCCTCATTTCCCTGTGTGCGTGTGTGTACACATGTGCATGCGTGTGAGCATAAGTGTACATGCATGGGCATGTGCCATTAGATCTTGGCCTCTGAGGTCATGGAGTCAGCCTCCTTCTTTTCCAACATGGCCCAGGATGGGGCCCCCAGTAGAACTCAGAGCAAGACGGCCACGCTGTCTGGGACTGACAGTTGGGTTATCCATTGCCTCGCCGGAAGAGTCAACCCACCTCTGCAGAATAACCTGCTTGTCAAGTGCCACTGACTGCCTGGTGACTCATGGACCAAAGCTCACCGTCTCCACCACCAACTCCTCCCCTGGCCCCAGAAGTAGCCCCTCTGTGGAGATTTCCCCTGACGGACCATGCCAGGTCCTGTGGGATGGATGCATCCAGCCCCCCGTGAGAAATTCCCCTGGGTGGGAGGGCCACCCTTGCTGTTGGAGGTCCACACCAGCCTTGGGACCTGTGTTGCAGGTGGGCCAAGAGGGGCCAGATCATCAAGGAAGCATCTGGAGAAGTGTATCGGACCACCGTGGACTACACGTACTTCTCAGAGCCTGTCTCCTGTGAGGTCACCAATGCCCTGGGCAGCACCAACATCAGCCGCACAGTCGATGTCTACTGTGAGTGCAGCTGGTGGGGGCTCCCTGGGGAGCGGGCACTGGGCTGGTCTCTGCTCAGGGCCAGAGGGCCCGTTGCTGACCCATTGCACACAACATAACCAGGCCTCACAGGCTCCTGAGGCTGCACACCTTACAAAACTTCCTCGTGTGGTGTTTTGTGTCTTTCTGGACCCTCGTTACAACCTGGGGAGGCAGGAACTAGCACGTCCACCACCAAGATGAGTGGTGGAGGCCTGAGGTCACACAGCAAGTAAGTGGCAGAATGAGAATAGAGACCAGGCTCTGAGCGAATCCACTGCCCGATAGCCCTCGCTGCCTCCCGTTAGGGGCTGGCATACAACACCTTCCTCCCTGGTGGCCTGGTGGGGACCCACAGGGAGCTGGCCCATTGCTGATGGGCCCCTGGATGAGTTCACAGCGCCAAGCATTAGCTTGTCTACTGCCCGTCACAGTTTTAAAAGCACTTTTACAAAGTTTCTTTATATCTGTCCCCTCCACTCGCTCCCAACAGCCTCAACAGAAAGTGCCGTTACTCCCTTTTTACATGGAAGGCGTAATCCGGGTCTCCTGACCCCGAATTTTACGCTCTTCTGCTCCCTGAAAGCAGCTCTCTGCACACCCTCGGGTCCCCGCGCCTGAAATTCCACCGCTGCCCCGCTCTGGGGACCCAGGCTCGGTCTGCAGGAGGCTCCAGTTACAGGCAGCTTCGGGGGAAGGCTGGACAGAGCCTCACTAACGCTCACCGACACTCAGCAGGGGCGTGGGAACCAACCAAGGGCAGGTCTACTTCAGTGGGGCTGAAAAAGAGGCTGGGTGGGGCTGGAATAGAGGATAGCCTGAGAGCAGAGAGACCTGGCCTCCCCCACTCCTTGTCTCAGAGGCCCTCGGAGGGCCCGGGAGGGCTCAGGGAGCTGGCCAGGTGCACGGGGTAACTCGATTCCAGGTCACAAAGCTGAGGCCTCTAGGAGGAGGGTGGTTGACCCAAAGGCCAGCACATGAAGATCCCAAGGCCCAAGATTTCTGGGGCAGGAGGAAGGCCCCTCTGCCCACACAGTGGAGTGGGGGCTTCCTGGGACCAGGACAGAGGGATGGGGATGAGAAAGCCCTGGCGGCAAATCCAGGTGGAAATGGCACCAGGGCACCTTTTTCCTGAGGTTGTGCTGCCTGCGTCTGCGGTGGGCCCAGGGGAGGCTGGGCTCCCGGGAAGGGAGTCTCTTTCTTACTGCCCGAATCCCACTCCAGACCCCAGGCCCAGCCTGGGCAGAGCACTGAAATGCAAAGGAATGGGCTGGAGTGGACTGAGGTGGCATAGGTACCAGCTGCCCCCTTCCTCCAAGCGTGGGAGGGTCCCCAGAGCTCCCAGCCCACCAGAGCCCTGTCTCCTCCTTCTTCCCATCACAGTTGGGCCCAGGATGACCACGGAGCCCCAGTCCCTGCTTGTGGATCTGGGCTCCGATGCTGTCTTCAGCTGCGCCTGGACAGGCAACCCATCTCTGACCATCGTCTGGATGAAGCGGGGCTCCGGTGTGGTAAGTCCGCACTCAGACTCCAAAGGGCCTCTGGCAGGGGTGGGGGGACCATGGGCCCTGAGTCGGGGGAACTGCCTTCCAGGGCCTGTCTCACTCTGAGATTGGAGGTATATCCTCCAGTGTGAGCTGAAGGAAGAAGGATCCCAAAAAGAGAAGAGGGAACCCCAGGTATCTGCATGTACCCCTTGGCCCTAACCACACCAGCCTTTGCAGCTTTGCCCCGTCAGGAGCCTGATGAGAAAAGCAAGGGGTCACCAATATGCTGGAAGTAATGAGCCACTGGAAAGGCTTTTCAACTCTCCCTAAATAGCTAAGTTACCCTTTAGCTCTTGGGTTAAGCTTTGCTTCCTGCTTGTGTTCCTCTTAGAATGTGTGTGTTCTTTAGTGTGCATGAGAGTTTGTCAGACATCCCTCCCCTCAGGAAGACTGGTGAGAGCCTCGAGCAGGACAGGACGGGGAGAGGCAGAAGGACTCTGACCCCTGTGAGGCCTACTCCGTGCCAGATGCTGCCCTGCCCTCTGAGCGTCACTACCCTGTTGTTGGGATAAGGAAACAGCATCAGAGAAGATAGTAACTGCCCAAGGCTACCAGGTGGATGCTGCTGAAGGCAGGATCCAAACTCAGAGCTAGCTAATGCCAAAGTCTGCTTTCTTTTCATGATCCCAAACCACATCCCAGAGGGATCCTGAAAACAACTCGGAAAAGACAGGTCCGGGGACCCTCAGAGAAGTTCAGCTGTAGGATAATTTCACCCATGGCCAGACTCTTAGAGGTTGGTTGGCAGCCCCTCCCTGTATGAGAAAGCCTCAGGGGCCACAGCCAGGGAGTCCTCCTCCTCCTCCCATGCTCATCCCCCCAATACGCCCACCCCTTAGGGCTGCCGCTAGGATGTAGCATCTTCAGCTATAGAGAGTCCTCTGTGCTGTGGCCTCTCCCCCGACAGCTCACCAGGCTCACTGTGTAATGAAACGTTCTGCCTGCTACCCCACCCCTGGTTTTTACTGAGACGCTAGAGACATGTCACTCACCTCCAGGCATGCCTCTCAGCCCTTCAGTTCTGAGGGACAGAGGGCCTGCCCCTAGTCTTCACGTCCCATCCTCCCTGATTCTCCTAGGTCCTGAGCAATGAAAAGACCCTGACCCTCAAAACCGTCCGCCAGGAGGATGCTGGGAAGTATGTGTGCCGAGCTGTGGTGCCCCGGGTGGGAGCCGGGGAGCGAGAGGTGACGCTGACTGTCAATGGTAAGTCCTCCACTCGTACCAGGGCAGCGCGGGGAGAGGCACCCAAGGCATCTTGGTCCCAGGCATTGCCCCAAAGGGGCTGTTGTTGTTTCTGGCCTTGCTACCACCTCCAACTATGGGTCCATGGCAACTTCATCCAGCTCCTCGAGTCCATGTCAGAGCCCAGCCCTGAGGAGAGGAAGGACCTGGCTAGTTTTCTGGTCACCTCCTTCTTCCTTTGTTACTTCTAAGGGGTCTCAGCCCTGAGAATGGTCTCTGATGAATTTTATCCTGGGCAAGAAAAAAAGTCAGAGGGCCACAGAGCAGCCAGCATAGATCCCATAGCTACCTTTTGACCTTGACCTTGGCCCTGGTGGGGAATTTAAGGGAGCATCTCTGTGACTCCTGGTCGGCCTTTTCCCATCGCATTAGAGCCGCTCAACCAGGAAGACCTGTCACCACCCCCAGGAGACCAAGTGTTCAGGGGGCCCCTTGAGGGCAGGGAATGTGTCTTACTCTGTATAAAAAAAATTACACAGGAGAGTGTTTTCACATCTCTCCAAGAACACAGTGAGAGTTACTAGATGAGTGTTACCTGAAACATTCAGAGGATGGGGCATCGGGCCAGGCCCGGATGATGGGATGTGTAAGGTCACGGAGAAGCAAGAAGCCTGGGGTACCAGGACAGAAATTCCTGTCTCTGCCGTGAAATGTGCCGGGCCGTGGCCGGCACCCCGGGCTGCTGAGCCGAGAGGGTGAGAAACGCCACAGCGAAGTCCCTCTGCCACTTCCAAACTTCACTCTGCTGGGTTTTCGGGTTCCCTTTTTGAGCCCCCTGCCCCCACACAGCCTTTCCCAGATCAAAGCCCCAAGGCTCTGAGCCCCAGCAGGAATCCAGCCCCACATTTGTAGGGCCTCTGGGTTTGTAGGGCCCGATCTGCCCCAGATCAGGGGCCCAGAGAAGGGCTGAGCGGAATTCTAGAAATTTGGCCTGCCGGCTTCCTCTGAACCCAGGAAGCCACCCACTGACGCCTCATCTACTCTCCTCCTTTGCTAGAAAACTAATACCAGCTTGGTGCTGCCTGAGCCACCCCTCTGTGCTGTCCCCAGTAAGCAGCACCTGCATCTATTTCCTTCCCTCTCCCCCTCCCCAAGGGTTGAGGCAGCCCCAGAGGACAGGTGACTCTACAGGGGCCCGGAGAGCTCACAGGCCACCTGTCCTGGGCAGAACCCTGACTCAGGAGCCTCCCCGCCTTTCCCGGGTGTCCCCAGGACACCACCAATACCCTGGCACTGCAGGGCTAAAAATAACAGCATCTGATGGTGCCTCCGTATATCCATGGCAACACAGGCTGCAGCCTTCTCCTGCCGCTTGGGGTCTGACACTGGGCTCGAGCGCCAGGTCCTGGTGAAGTCAGCCGCCTCCCGGCCCGGAGAGGGCACTGGGCAGCCAGCTCTGTCCCCTGGCCCCATGGCCAGCCGGGATGGGGACCCTCAGACTCACACGTGGCCTCCAGGGTCCCCAAGCCTGAAGCTTTTAAATGAGCATCCTCGTTTCTGGGAAAAACGGGGTGGATAAAGGAAGGACTGACATTCCGTTCTCTTTAGACATCCAGGCATTTCCCAACAGGGATTTAAAGTGGCTTCTTGAGGAGGGAATGCACACCGAGAGGGACATTTCTCTTGGATTGGACGCCCAGCCTGGGCCCTGGCGTCTACCCAGAGTTTAATCTGCACCCTCAGGGTCCATCCTTCTGGGCGGACCCTCCAATCCTTCCAGCACAAGCTCCCCTAGGTTGCCAGAAAGAGAAACGCCCAAGGGATTGGAGTGAAGAAGCAAGGAGGCTGTTCGTTTGTTTCTGCTGAACTAGGGTCCTCTCAGGCTGAAGCAGGGGGTGGATTGAGTGGCCAGGGAAAAGGAGCCTGCCACCCCACATGGGAGTGGAACTGTCTGTGCGGGCGTCTAGAGAACAGCTGGAGGGACGGCGAAGCCCTTCGGAGAGGGGCCTGGCCTGGGCTGAAGGGATCGGACGTCGTGAAAGGACCCAGAATGAGATGGGGTTCTCAACAAACCAACCCAGCCAGCAGACAGCTGCTGGCTGCTGCCCACCGGGCAATAAACTGGCCCAGATCTCAGTGACGTGGCTCAAACCTGGCACCCGCAGGAAGGGGGAGGTACACATACCTCTGCTGCACTGGGACTCCTCAGTCCCGTCCACCTTTATCCTGATTTCTGCTTTCTTTTATGAAGCCCTTAAACATGTACGCATTTGCCTGATCGCTTTAGAACGCCTGAGAGCCCCCCAGGGAATCCTCGCTCCTGGGTAGTGGAGGAGAAAAGGTTTGATGGCATCGTCACTTTCAGCCCAGCGGCAAAACAAAGCCCTCCCAGTTCCTCGGACATCAAGCCCTCCCCGTGCTGGGCCGAGGGATTCTTGGAGCAAAGCAAGCCCACTGTTACAGCCTCCTCTGGAGGATCCCCACATCTGCCCCACTCAGCTCCCAGCCATTTGCCATCCTCTACCTCTGTCTCCTGTACCTTTTTTCCCCTTGGCTGAGAGCTACTCATAGAAATGCAGATCTGTTTTAATTAAGGTGGCTAATAAACAGCAATTATGTTTGCAGCGATTTTTGTTTGGTTCCCAGCATAATTTTGCCTGTCGTCCAGATCCCGCCCTAGCTATAGCTCTCTTTCCTCTCCTTCCTGCAACCTAAGCCCCAACCTTCACCCCTGGGATTGGGAAGGGGGCACGAGGGTCTCCATCCCCACACCACTCGCTTCAGCTGCCCAGCCCAGCCAGGAAGTTAGCTGAGCGAATGGCTGAACTCGCCGCTCCTCCATCCCCTTTCACTGCCAGGTGGGCATACACAGGCAAGATTTAGGTTAGATATAAGGCAGAACTGGACAAAGCACTGTTGGACTTCTGGTTCCAGGTGCACTCTCTAGGCCGTCCGGTGCACTCTCTAGGCCATCCGATGCAGTAAATGAGGCAGGTACTACTGGAGACATCCATAGACACCTCACACACACACTCGTACATGCATGCGCGCACGCACACAGACTGCATGGGATAAGGTCGGGGTCAGCTCCGGAGCCGTGGCTTCCCCGGGGCCGTCTGGGTGTGCACGTGGAGGCAGGCAAGGCAATGAACTCCAGGATCTCCCGAGACATATGTGAGATGAAGGCTATGAACATGCCCAGCGCATTTCACCTGTCCAGGGTGGGATCACCCCTTGGAAGAAGAACATCACCATTTAGTTTTCTCTTCCTCCCCGTTAGCCCAACCCTGCTGAGGACACCCGGTTTGTTAGGCAAGCGCGCCCTCTACGGCAGATCTGAGAAAATGTCTTGAAATGGAACAGCTGGCTAAGGCGGAGGTGACATTACTTAGCACCATACACCCGTCCTCCCCAACACCTCCCCGACTCCCTTCTCAGGTTTAGCGCCTCCTTCACAAAGCTTTCCCCATCGGCCAGGTAGGATTCTCGCTCCTCTGAAGTCGGTTAGCACTTCATCTGTGTGCCTCCTGTGCTGGGAACTCTCACCGCCTCCTGTTACGGTTCCGTATGTCTTCTGGGCATCCTGACGTAGAAGTCTTCGCTCCTGATCCCTGGAGAGCTTTATGACTGAATGCGCAATTTATCTTTGAGTCCCATGCCTTGCACTTTACCTTACACATACAGGCCCTCAGTAAATGTTTGCTGATGATTGAATTAATGAATAAACTTCTGAACCCACCCAAGAGGGGCCCAGCCGGGCACCTGCCCTTCCCAAATCCCTGAAGTGATGCTGTCTCCCCAACAGGACCCCCCATCATCTCCAGCACCCAGACCCAGCATGCCCTCCACGGAGAGAAGGGCCAGATCAAGTGCTTCATCCGGAGCACGCCGCCACCGGACCGCATTGTGAGTGCTTGCAGGTGGGGAGGGGAGGGGAGGGGGCACGGTCATCTCGGCCCACAGCTGTGCCACCACAGGGCCAGTAGGTGTACGCCTCTGAGCTTCCTTTCCCCAGTGGGGAAAATTAGACCCACCTTGTCTCTTTTGGAAAGGCATCGTGAAGACAATCACAGGCAGCCTCCTTTCTCAGAACAGGCTGAGCCCCAGGGTTCATCGGCAGGTGTATTTAACTCCGCTCTGCTGGTCAGCCGTGAGCTAACATGAATGCTTCTGACCGAATTCTGCATCCTGGGAGCAGAGGGGCAAGTGAGGGCAGCAGGAGGAAAAGATAGACGGGGTACAAGGCCAGTCTTTGGCAAAATCCTACCCAGAATCCAGTTTATAGTTGGCAACTCCTTTCTGCGCATCCCTGAGTCCTCCTCTATGGACCTCCGCTGCCTTGCCATCCATGGAGAGCCCTCCCCCATTTATCAAGTCTTCCCCTCTAAAAACAGCACTCTGCTCTCCCTCCCTTCCTCAAAACTCTCAGCCCCGCAATGCAGCGAAGGCAATGGGCAGAGTTTTCACACTTAGCCCTCCCCAGTGTCTGCATTTGTAAAAGCAAGGGCCTTCCATCCAAGTCCATCTGAGACTGGTGGAAGCCCAAGCATGAAAACAAAGAGAGGTGAGTGTTTTCTAGCATTACTGGGGGGCAGATATTATTTTTAGTAAGCCCCCATGCCTAGGAGAGTCCTGCCGGCAGACTGCCCGGCTGGCTTCACAGGGCGGGTCTACCCTCTCACAGTGCAGGGTGCCAGGGAGGGTGTGGGGGCACACGCTGAAAACCTGTGGGTGTGCATGCCGGGCTGGGACACTGAGGCTGAACACGCTAACCCCGTCATCCTGTACACTACGATGTTGTTACAGCATCGCCACTGCTACACACTTTCTCAGGCATTCAGTTCATTCGCTGTCAAAGAATCACACGAAAATTGCAAGAATTTACATGTAGAACTAATACCTATGCCTCCCCATTCACTTCACTCTTTAATTTTTTTTAATGATAAGTGCAACACATTGTAGAATATTCCATTCACTCTTGAGCATATTCATGCAATCTTACTCTTCATAAATATCTAACTCCAGGCCAGTGGTTCTCAACCAGGGCGATTTTGCCCCCAGGAGCCATTTGGCGATGTGTGCAGACATTTTTGGTTGTTGCAACTGGAGGGATACTCTGGCATCTAGTGAGTCGAAGCCAAGGATGCTGCTAAACAACCTGCAGTGTTCAGGACAGCCCCCCAGCCAAGAATGATCCAGAACATCAAGTAGTGCCAAGTCTGAGAAACTACCTTCGGCTCACCAGTGCCCTCCAAGCACCTACCTACATTGCAACTCCTCACACACACTGTGAGCCTGGGTGTGTAAGGTGCTCACATGTTGAGGTGCTTACAGCACACGTGAAATGGCTCAGAGAAAAACGAAACTATCATCCTTATAACTAAGATAGATTAAGATTTTCACAAATACAACCCTCGGAACATACCTTTGTACAAACGGACAAAGTAACAAAACTAGACAGTCACTCTGGGGCTGGGCTTCAACCTCTGCCTGCCAGGTGGAAACACAGTGCCCAGGTGCCAGCACAGGCCAGCCCAGGGAGGGGCTCCCATCGCTGTCACAGAGTTCCCTGTTGGGCTGGAAAAATGTTCCAGTCAGAGCTACATAAGGCCACCTTGTCAATGGAAATACCCTCTGAAGTGGTCCAATCTGTGAGTGTGTGTATGTGTGTTTGTGGTGTGTGTGCATGTGTTATAATGTGTCTTTATGTGTGTACACATGTTTGTGTTGTGTATTGTGACGTGTGTGTGTACCTGTGCATACACATGCCGGTGCTGCGTGGCAGTGAGCATGAATGTGAGCCTGGCAGTGTCAGCCCTGGAGCCAGGGAGGCACCTGGTGTAGGTGGCTCTGGTGGGGGTCTCCTCCTAATTCTGCACACCTCGAACAGGCCTGGTCCTGGAAGGAGAATGTGCTGGAGTCAGGGACGTCCGGGCGCTACACGGTAGAGACAGTGAGCACCGAGGAGGGGGTCATCTCCACCCTGACCATCAGCAACATCGTGCGGGCTGACTTCCAGACCATCTACAACTGCACCGCCTGGAACAGCTTCGGCTCTGACACGGAGATCATCCGGCTCAAGGAGCAAGGTGGGGGCTGCCAGGGGACGAGGGGACCAGCAGGCCCTCTCCCGCCTAGGGCAGGGCCCCAGGCAAGGTCTTCCAGGGTCAGGAGGGGATGGAGTGCCTAGTCAAGGCTACAGGCAGGTTGGGGCCCGAGGACAAGTCACAGCACTCCACCTAACTTGCCACACAGCCTTGGGCAGGTCCACGGCCCTTCTGTGCCCAGTTCCTCCCAGGACAAGGGGCACTAGCCTGCACCAGGAAGTGAGAAGGGAAGAAAACTGCTCAGGGTGGTGGCCCTTCAGGGCGATGTTTCAGGGAAAGGTGACCACAAGAGCCAGCCCAGCTAATCCTCCAACAGCTTCTAAAGTCCCCGGCTTCTGTGCACTCAGCATTTCCCTAGTGTCCTTAGGGGTGTGTGATCTGCTGAGTGTCCTCAATGGGAGACACCAGGATGGGCGTGCGAGGACCCTGGCCCAGCCAGTTAAGACAACAAGCCAGTCCAGCTACCAAAAGTCCCTGGAGGGTGCCCATGCTGAGCTACGAGGTAGGGCTTGAGCTGTCCCAACCCCTGGTGTGTGGGGGCTGGGCTCAGACCGTCTACAGTTCCCCAGGGGACGTAGGAGACACATGGACCACTGTGCTCTGAGGGAAACACCAGTCAGAAGGGCAGTGCTGGGCGGAAGGGTCAGAGCTGCTGGGCGGGTGAGAGGGAGGAGGAGGGAAGTGGAGGGCTCACCCCACTGTGACCCCTTGTGCAGACCGTCAGCTCCTAGTCAGGGAGATGCTAAGAACTCCAGTCTCTGCTTGAAGGTCTCAACAGAGACCAGAGGGTGGGGAGTCTTGGAGGGGCATAAGGGTGGATCAGAGAAGCTCAGCAGACAGCCGGCAGCCCACCGGGTCCTGAGATGGGCTGCAGGTCTTATCCTTTTCGCCAGCAGGAGTCAGTCCATGGTGGACAGGGCAGTCCAGGGGGCCTTGGCCCTGGCAGTCTCTGGCACCCTCCAAGATGAAGGCCCACCCCCAGGCTGTGAGGCCCTGGCCAGAGATTCTAGGTCAAGCAGATGGTCTCAGCTGGGCCCTCAGGCCACAGGGCCACCCTGTGGATCCCAACACCTCTTCCCTAATAGGTGCTGCTTTGCATAATGCTTTGCACATAATTTGCATAATGTCATCCACACATCATCCCAAACCTTCCCAGTCACCTGTTGCTTACCCTCCATGTCTTCCCCTCAGTGCCCCCACCCACTGTGCCCTCCCCGTGGTGTTCTCACCCCAACCTCCCCAGACCCCCAGCTTTGACTTCTCTCTCTGGTCCCTACCCCCCTGGGGTCTCTAAGTCAGTCTGAACGAACTGCCAAGTTCAGTTTGGCTAGCCTGCATCTGTTGGGTGGTTCCGGAGACATGATGGAGGAGGGAGCCCCCTCACCCCAGCCCCCTCCAGAGGGCCGGCCCCCAGGCACACCCCACCCTGGCCGGCCAGGCCCTGGCTGTGGACGCTTGCTTTATTTCCAAACAGGTTCGGAAATGAAGTCGGGAGCCGGGCTGGAAGCAGGTACGAAGGAGACATGAGAACTCCCCGGGATGGGGGGAAGGGACCTCTGGGCTAGTGGGGGAGGGAACCCAAAAGGGGGTAGGGAGGCCTGTGCAGGCCGCTAACTTCTCTGCCCTCCCCCTGTCTCGAGAGTTTAGCGCAGTCAGAGCAGCAGGGAGAGGAGTTCCCAGCCAGCGTGGGTCTAGGGACCCCAGAGACCTGTCTCCTATGTCGCTGCCGCCAGAGCCCCCAAGCTCCTTGCAGCCCAGGACACTGGTCCTGCTCCTCCTGCTCCGTCCGTCCCTCCCCTTCCCTTCAGAGCCCTGGCTTCTCCCGTCGGGAATCAGCTCGTGCTTGCCTGGCCCCCTTCTATTTCCAGGCTCTCCCTGACTCTCCCTGCTTCTCAACATCATCACCAGCTTGGCCATCGCTTCCCAGGATGCCAGGCCTCCCAGCCTGTGCTGTGGCCTGCGTAACCTATGCTAATCCACGCTTTCTCGCTCGCTGCCTCCCCCGGCTCCTGCTGCTCCCCATGGAACTGTCATCTCACTGTCAGGCCGAGGCAAGGCTGTTGGGCAGTGCCTCCCTCTGCAGGCACCTGGCAGCAAAGTGGTCATTAGGCTCCCTGGGATGAGTTGCTCTATCTTGAGACGCTACAGGAGACGATTGCCCCATCTGCCAAGGAGAAACCCAGAAAAGAGAATCAGGACATTGCAAGCCAGACTCCACAGGGCTGACAAAGGCCTTGCGGAAGATGTGGGGGTCTTCTGCCCTAGCTCTCCCAGCACACTGGCCTGGAAGGAGCTAGGCTCAGCCGGTCAGCTCCTTCAGCAAGCTCCTTGTGGGCCCCACACGGGCCCTCCCCAGTAGAAGCAAGCTCAGAGGCAACACAGTTGTCTGCCTGCTGCTGCACTCTCCCTGAGCCCCTCAGAGCCCCTTCTGGTGCTGGGGCGGTGCCTTCTTCCCACCTCCCTCTCACATGTGTCTGTTCACACTCATCAGAGGTCCCCAGCACCTTCCTTTGTGACTGAGACTCCTCGTGCCCTGTCCCCCGCCCAGTCCTTCTCCAGGGGACTTGGAGGGGTGTTCTGTCCAGAGACATCCAGCCTACACAGACCTCAGCAAGCCAGGCAAGGAGGAGATGTGCATGGGCAGGCAGCAGAGGAGCCCCTGCCCCACCAGTCCCCTCTCCCTCTGCCCCTCCCGCCCTCTTGGGGACAGTTCTCCAGACAAGATGCCCCTCCCCAAGCTCTTAAGGACTCAAGGAAACGTAGCCTCACAGGAGGCACCTTAGATACCCCTTCCCTGGTCGTCTGCTTTCACAGGGAAGACAGTGAGGCCCAAAGAGGCTAAGGAACCTTCCATGGTCATCCCTTGGCTCTGAGTTCAGCTGAGACAAGGCCCAAGTTTTTCCAAGGAAATTTACTAGGCATCCAAGGAGGAATGAAATCAAAGCCAAATTAATAAAATTCAAAAGCATAGAACCAAGGAGCTTCTGAAGCTGTTTTCCTTTCCGAATGGAATTAAAACCTGGAGACAGAATCATCTAATTGTCAAAGTGAGCTCCCCGGCTGGCTGGGAGACGTCCCCATTCTCACCGTGCAGGCTGAAACCAGCCCAACAGCTCCATTTTCATTCCTGAGTGTTTGCCACACCCGCCTTTTCCTTGTCCCCTCCCCTGCCACTCCTGCAGTGGTCTGGCCACGAGTAGGCAGGTGATGAATAAGCTAGTGTACAGGTCCTGGGGCAGGAGGACTGTACCAGCATAACCACCAACACTGCCAAGCAGCAGGCACCTGCTCCTTCTGGAGGAGGGGACCCAGCACCTCCTCCCAGTGGTACCTCCAGGGGCCAGGGATCGAGGTTTTCTTCCTCTCTTTAAAGAAAACAAAAATGAGAGACCACGCCTAAGACAAATAGCTGGCTGTCCTTCAGTCATCCTCACTGATGACTGTGGGGCATGGGAAGGGAGGGAGCTCAGGCTCTAAATGGCACTTGCCTCTCCTTTAAGGTCTCCATCTGCTACCATCCTCCTTCCTGTAGAGAAATAAGGCCACGTACTAGAATAGGGCTTGGTGCCAGACTGTTCCAAGGCCTCTACCCACACTCACTCATCTAGACCCCATAACAGCCCCCTGAGGCAGGCACAATAATTATCCCATTTTACAGATCAGACAGGTAAAGTCAGTTGCTCAGAAGAACTGATACAGTCTAGGTTGTACAGAGCATGTAAGATTTGGAGGATGCTATGTGATACAGTGGATGGAGCCAAGCAGGATGCAGGAGGTGGATAAGAAGAGACCTGGATTTCTTCTGACTCTACTGCAACTGTGTGTCTTTGATCAAGTTACTTGACATCTCTGGACCTCAGTGATTCCATCTATAAATGGAGGTCTTGGACTCAGTGGGCCCTTCACTCTCCCTGCCTCTGCATTCTCTAGTTCTATTCCCTATTCAGGGCCCCAAACATAAGCTCAGGCCCTATATGCAGCCATAGAAGGTCCAAGGCTGTCTGGAAAAGTTCCCCCCACCCAGATCAGCCTCCCCATCCCCATTTCTACTAGGTTAGGATAGGAGACAGACTGAAAAACTCAGCAGGAAGTGAAAGCTTGCCCAGCTGGAGTCCTGGGCCTCCCTCGGGGAGGGTGCCAGGATACTCAGAGAACTGGCCTAGGAGAGGAAGGAGCAGGACTGGGGAGTCAAGCAAAAGGGGCGTTTCTCCTTAAAGACGTGGGCAGGGGGCTGTGATTCCCCTCCCCTGACCCCTAAGACCAGGGCCTCTGGGGGCTAGTACCCCTGCTTCCCAGCAGGCCCCTCAAGGGAAGCTGCCTCCAACCTGAGAACTCTCTACAGGCTGGTTGTCCATGCCCATCGCTGGGCACCTGGGAAAGGGCAGAGAAGGGAAGCACAAACCCAACAAACAAGGGAAGTGACCATAGTCGTTTTTCAAAGAAGAGCCAGGACCTCTGACTCTCCAGCCACTGCATGATAGAATATTCCTGGTTTAATACCAAAGAGAGCTAAGTAGTGCCCAGCCTTGCCTCTCTTCTCTGTGTCCCTCTCCCCTGGCCCTCCCCTCCCTGTGTCTGCTTGCCTCCCCCTCCCTCCACCACTGGTCCTCCCACCCTCTCCTCCACCACCTGTCCCCCTTGAGCTGACCTCTGCTGGACTCTGCCAGTGCCTGCCCAGCCCCCAAGGCATTCCCCAGGAGGCCCACGTGCAGTGATCTGGCCCCAGCTTGGCAAGGGCTACACCGGAGGGAACTGGGTGAGGTCCTGGGGAGAGAGTGAGCTGCCCCGGGTCCCTCATCAGCTGTGCTTGCTTCTCTCCCACAGAGTCTGTGCCGATGGCCGTCATCATCGGGGTGGCTGTAGGAGCTGGTGTGGCCTTCCTCGTCCTTATGGCAACCATCGTGGCCTTCTGCTGTGCCCGCTCCCAGAGAAGTACGGGAGGGAGACCCGGGATCTCAGGGAGGGGGACAGAGAAAAGGGCCAGGCTTAGACTGCCCCAGAGAGCAAGTAAGCAGGAGTGCAATGAGAGGGGGCCTTACAGTGCTGTGAGCCGCTGGGGCAGGGACAGTCCGACACATCCTATATGTGCGTGGCTTCGTGTGGTGGCCAGCACACAGTGGGCACTCAGCTGATGCTGAGCTGGACTAAGTGAACTTCAACCAACAGGGCAGTCAGCCAGCACTTGAGATTGACCACGTGTAGCACTCTTGCCGGGAACTGTACAGAAATCTGGGGTGGAGTGGGGGGAAAGAGGTGGTTTGATCCTTATTCTCCAAGATCTGCTAGTCTAACCAGAAAAGCAGGACACCCACACATGGTGGGGGTGGGGAAGCATTCAAGGAACTGCTTTGTGTAGACTTTTAAAGGTCTTTAGTCGTTAGCAATAAAATTCTGGTGTTTATGCACTCTTGAAGAATTGCATGTGCCTGGAGTTTCCATCCTGGGAATGGCCCTGATGTTAGGTGTGATAGACTGATGCATGGAACTGTAAAATGGGAAGGCAGAGTAGAGGTGAAAACAATGGAGACACAGTCTTCTAGTCCAATCTTTTCTGCCACTGGACCTTGGGCAAGCCACTCTATTGCAGGCCTCAGCTTCTTCATGTGTAATAGTAAGGGGTTGGATGAGGTGACTTTTATGACCCCACTTGCTTGAACATCCAACATTCTATGAGCATAAGTCACAAGATGAATAATCAGGGTAAACCTGCTCCCTCCACCACTTGGCAGCCTTCCCGTATTGGAAGAAAGCTGAGTGTTCCCCTTGCGTTTCCTCCACTCCAAGCTAAGCAGCCTTGGCTCCCTTGACTGCCCCCAGAGAATGTGGTCTCAGGACCTCCCTCACTGCCCTCTCAGTGGAAATTACAGGAGAGCATATTTAGGTAAGAATTTTCTAACAGAGCTCTCCAACTATAAATCGGCTGTCTCCTCTAGAAATTGTGAAGTCTCCATTGTGGAAGCATTGATGCAGGAGCTGGACCACCAAGTGTCAGGGATGTTTCTGTTTTGGGTGGGAGGCTGACCATTAAGGTCCTTTCTAACAGCAAGATTTGTGATTCTCTGAATGGAGAGATCATAGCCAGGTGGAGGAGGTCAGAAAAGACTTCTAGAAGGAGGTGAGAATTTAGTAGGATGAAAAGGACCTAGCTCTGTAAGGGGGATGAATGGTTGAGGACAGCTTCTCAAGGCACGGGAGCAGCAGTGACAGGCTGAGGCGCATGCAGCCAGGAGCCAGTGGAGAAAGAGCTCTGAGGCCCCAACAGCCCATAGCACGTCCACACAGGTGTTCTCTTGGCAGGAGGCCATGAAGCTGCTGAGATCAGGCACTGAAGGGTAAACTCGGGGTGGCGGTGGCAGCCAGGGCTTGACATCTCAGGCCCTAATGCCTGAGGATGAGAACTGAATCTGTCGTCCACACTTTCCTATCTTATGTCCAGATCTCAAAGGTGTTGTGTCAGCCAAGAATGATATCCGAGTGGAGATTGTCCACAAGGAGCCTGCCTCTGGTCGGGAGACTGAGGAACACCCCACCATCAAGCAGCTGATGGTGAGAGTGCCGTCTTATCCCCACCCCACCCCAACCTCTGTGCCCTGAAGGTCCTGGGACTGGAGCCTTCCTGATGCCCTAGGTGCTCCCGAGAAGCAGAGCTTCAACAAGATGCGCCCTCACCCCCATAATAGGCCAGGCACGTCCTCTCAGCCAACAGGGATTTATTGTGTGTCTACTGTACTGCACTTGGTGTTCTAGGAGACTCAGAGACATCCAAGATGCAGTCCCTGCTCTCAAAGAACCTGGCTGTTCAGTAGGAAGAGAAGACAGACGCATAAATTGCCGTAATCTGTTGTCACGTAGCAATTCTACACACAGACACACGTCAATATTACAGATGTTCAGTGCGTACCCTGCCCCACCCCACCCCAAGAACGGTCTGCAGACAGCATGGATTCCTCTTCGGGAAGTGGATCGCTTCCCAGAAATAAACTCATAACTTCTCCAGCAACCCCACCCTGCCCCTCCTCTTCCTGATCCACACTGGATGGACTGTAATGTAGCCAGCTGTCCAAGCAGAAACCAGAACACTGTGCTAGAACATTCTAGTGCCTGCTATGCCATGGTTGTCATATGTTGGAGAAACAGCAGCAAGCAAGGGATAACGAGCATGGGCTTCTCTGTGCCTCAGTCTCCTCATCTCTGAGATGGGCATGAAACTATGAGTACACAAGGCCTTGGGGGGATAAATGGGTAACACCTACAGAGCCCCGAGCCCATGGAACACAGTGAGTGCTCCAGAAAGGTTACCCGTTTGCATTGCTCTGCAGTCACCTGTTTCCTGATCCGTCTCCATTAGATGGTGAGCAAGCTGCCTCGTTCACCCTGTGTCTCCGCGCCTTACACTGTCCCTGGTGGATGCTCACCAATGTTTATTGAACTGAACTCAGTTTCCTCTGCCACTCTTTTTCTATCCAATTGATTTTCAGGTCCTGTCAATTCCACTTCAAAAAGTTTCTCACGTTTGTGCCCTTACCTCTACTCCACTGTTACACTTCAGTTCCGGCCTCATCCTTGCTGCCCGGACTCTTACAGCAGCCTCCTAAGTGGTCTTACCATCCTAGTCTTTGACCACTTCACTCAGCCCCCCTCCGGAGTCGCACAAAAAGGATCCTTCAAAAATGCAAATATGATCCTCTTTCTGTGCTACTTAAAATGCCTCGTGGCCAAGTGGTTACGTTCTCACGCTCCGTTGCGGCGGCCCAGGGTCTCGCTCGTTCAGATCCTGGGTGTGGACATGGCACCGCTCGTCAGGCCACGCTGAGTGAACATCCCACATGCCACAACTGGAAGGACCCACAACCAAAAATATATACAACTATGTACTGGGGGGGGGGGGGGCGTGGGGGTGGGGAGAAAAAGCAGGAAGAAATGCTCCTCTTTTATAGTGCATTGCTCTAATGACCTGTCAGCCTCCCCACTTAGCCCAGAGGTCCTGTTCCTGCATCTACACGTGTCTGCTTCCCTGGGCTAATAAAGTGCCCAGCACAGTAGAGTGTTTGGTCTTACAAGGGAGGAGACCACAGCCTAGCCCTGAGAAGGAATGGACATCCCTGTAGATGAGCTTTTTGCGGTGAGGAGGCACCCAGGCCAGTCCTTCGTCCCAGATGAGACCTTGAAGTCCCTCCCAATGGAACATTCTGATTGCCTCAGACTGTCTCCACTCACCCCTCCAGCCCCATCCAAACCCTCAGGAAAGAGGGGCGGTCACTCAGTAGTCAATTAAGAACAGTGAGCCGAACACATCTCCGGCAGAGGGACCTGCTGAGGGCTCTGTGGCCAAGCCTCCCCTTGGGGAGGTCGTCAGCCCCCCACTCCCTTCAGCCCCTGACCCCAGACGGCCCCCACCTCAGGGAGAGGCAGGCTTAGAAGTTGAATCTGATGGAAAAGAACTCCAATCCAGATAGAGCCAGAGCTTTTACTGGAAAATGAAAAAAGCAGCAGTAGTGAGGAGGTAACAGTGTGGGAGCACTGGCTGGTTCCCTGGGGCTCCAGAGAGACCAGGAAAGTGAGTCACAGGGAGAAGAAACACCCCAGCTCAGAGGGTGGGTGGGAACGTGGCCTAGATGGAGTTATGTGCAGAAGCGATCCCGGGAAGCGCCTGACGTGCCACAGGGTACCGTCACTGTGGTCATTCAGATTAACCTACCCGCTGTGTGCTGAGCGTGCTTCATTTTTCACCTGCGGTCTAATTATTATCTTAATTTTCAGTAATTCAGAGCTCTGCCACTTGATTCATTTGTCCAACATAAATATAACATTTGTGACAGCCCTACTGTATATCAGGCCCTGAGCTGGGCACCGGTGAATCCGAGAAGTAATAAAACACAAATATGGTTCCATTCCAGAAGCATTTTGGTTCATGACCTCAAAACACAAGGCACAGTTCCAAGTGTGCTGGGGACTGAAAGAGAAACAAATGATCCTTGCCCTCGGGCTTTTTGGCCTCTGTTAAGGAAGATAACTTTTAGTACATCTATGTCATCCCTCTGAATAACAGGTGTAGCATCTCACGGGTTGTGATTCCTTTTTAAGGCTTAGTTAAGCCTAACACTGCCCTGCTGGGGCCCCACCCTGTGCCCTGTGGTCTAGGTGCTATAATTATTTAACTACAGGGCCTGCTCCCTATGGGCACAGCTGTGTCTTAATCTGTATATGCCTGACCCTTGGCACAGTGAGGGACCTGAAATTCAGTAAATGCTCAGTGAATTGGATTGAATCAGCCAGGTGAGATCTCTGGAGGTGATACTCTAGCCCAAGGGAAGAAAGTGTGGTCTTGGCGACCTGCCCCAGGGGTCCAGGAACTCTCCTGACTCCTTCACCTGCCTCCCCTGGGCCAGGAGTGAGAGGTGGGGGGAGCGGAGGCAGAGATGGCAAACCTCTTTTGAGTTCATTTTGCCATCCTTTCCTTGGGGAAGTGGACGTTTAGCCCACCTCCTATCCACTGAGCAGCCATTTTTGGGTTGCAGATGGACCGGGGAGAATTCCAACAAGACTCAGTGCTGAAGCAGCTGGAGGTCCTCAAAGAGGAGGAGAAGGAGTTTCAGAACCTGAAGGTAAGAACAGCCGCAGGGTATGAGATGAGAATCTGGTCTTCAGCTCTGAGGACCAAGACTCAGAGCCAGACAAATGCTGGCAGCAAGCCAAAAAGAAAGGCCAGAGGCCACTTTGGGGACAGGCGCTGTCCTCTCCCTAAGGTGGGACACTCCCCTGCCGAAGGCACTGCCCTCTCACCCCCACACTAAGGAGTGAGAGAGGGCAGGTGGAGGGCCGGCACTTCTCTCCTCCTACAGCCTCCTCACAAATCAATTTTAAAATTGTTTCCATGTTCTGGACAAAAACAGAAAACAACTGGAGTCTGGCTCTCCAGTGACTTCGCACTGCCCTTACATGAAGAAACATACCCAGTGGCGAGCCCCCGTTTCCCTCCCTTCAGCACCTGCTCGCCTTGCTGCCACCTCAACACCTGCCAGCCCTCTCTCCTCAGTGTCCCCACCAGCCCCACCCCATTTCTCCCCAGCTGTCTGTGCTCATCCCTTCCTGTGTGAGGCAGGCCTGGCTCAGCCTAGGAAGCCCCAGCCGGCTCAGAGCAGGCTCCGTCTGCCAGTGACCCTGCTCTTACTCTTGCTCCCAGGACCCCACCAATGGCTACTACAGTGTCAACACCTTCAAAGAGCACCACTCGACCCCCACCATCTCGCTCTCCAGCTGTCAGCCGGACCTCCGTCCCGCGGGCAAGCAGCGGGTGCCCACAGGCATGTCCTTCACCAACATCTACAGCACCCTGAGTGGCCAAGGCCGCCTCTACGACTACGGGCAGAGGTTCGTGCTGGGCATGGGCAGTTCGTCCATCGAGCTCTGCGAGCGGGAGTTCCAGAGAGGCTCCCTCAGCGACAGCAGCTCCTTCCTGGACACGCAGTGCGACAGCAGCGTCAGCAGCAGCGGCAAGCAGGATGGCTACGTGCAGTTCGACAAGGCCAGCAAGGCTTCCGCCTCCTCTTCCCACCACTCCCAGTCCTCTTCCCAGAACTCCGACCCCAGCCGGCCCCTGCAGCGGCGGATGCAGACTCACGTCTAAGGATCCCCAACTGTGGGTGGGGAGGGCCGCGGAGAGGTGCATTCTGGCTCTCCAGAGACGATGGATACTTTGCAGAGGACCCCAGAACCGGCTGCCTCCAGGACAGCCCCTGAGCGCCTCTGCTACCACCCTCCTCTGAAGCCCTGATCAAGCACAAATGTGGGTCCCCAGCTGCAGTGTGCCAGAGGCGTGCGGGTGGGGAAGTGGTCAGAGGATGCAGCTGAGCACACTGTGCTCCGTGCTGGACCTGCCAGCTGCAGCCCTTTCCTGGAGGCCCCTCCGCTCCCTGCTCCTCCCACAGGCGCCAGAGGCAGCTCTCACTTCGCTTTAATGAAACTGCCATCCACTCTCCAGTCTCCCCGTGAGCTCTGCCCTCGGCTGCCCATAAGCCCTACCCCTGTGCCTGTGCTCCTGTACGACCCTGGGGAGAAGGGGGTGAAGCTGCCCCAGAGACCCCAGCGCCCCCCCCACTGCTCAGCACCCAGACCCTGGAGGCTGAGAAGCCAGAAACAGCCCTGGCCAAAGGAGTGTCCCTCCCCGCCCTGGCCAGGAGCCCACCCCTAACTTGTTTGGTGTTTTGTGTCCATACCCTTGCAGTTCTGTCCTTGGACTGGATGCCACTGAACTCTGAGGAGGGACTGGCCCAATCAGAGACTGGTGCACTGGGAGGGGAGGGAGCGGAAGGAGGGAAGGCATGAGCATTTGGGGAACCCCTCACCCTTAGCAGGCTGTGGGATTCAGAGCCTCCCCTGCCCCCCCACCCTCGCGCTGCTCTGTGTACCTCCTTCCTCCCCCACAGCACAATCAGAGCGAATACAAGGAGTGTGGGAGCTTCTCTGGTCAGGGTCCTTTAAACAGTCCTAGAGAGTGTTTCCTAAGAGCTGGAGGGTTGATGAATCTTCAGGGGCCTTGATTCACACGAGGAACAATGGTCCTATCTTCAGGAAGACTCCATGGGTAAGAAAGAAAGTGTATCTACACCTCACCCCTCCTGCTCACCACCTGAGAATAAATGTTAGGGCCATCACTCCACAAATCCGTTCTGTCCTTCTGTTCCTGCAGAGCCACAGGAAGAACCCAAGAGCCCAGAGTAGGCTTTGGGAACCCAAGGTTCTTTGCCTTCTTTATTCAATTTTCCTAGATAATGAAGGCAGTTGATAGCTCTGGTTGTGGTGACAACAGCACCTACAGACAGATGCCTCTCCTTGTGGTTGTGTACAACCCAGAGGGCGTGCAAAAGCAGGACTCACCAACCACCCGACTCAGCTGAATACAGCTCAGCGGCAAAGTGGTCATGCTGCACACTGGAGAGGTCATTCCAGGCCTTGCTCTCAGCAATATTCTGCAAGGGAAGCTCCCTGCATTAGGGCTTCAGGGAAGGAGGCCCTCTTCAAAGAGCCTGTGCCACTAAGCACCCTAACACTCTACTATGAGACTCAGTAATGTTCTACAAATGGCCTTGTTTGCATGACAAGCTTGATGGAGTGATGGCAGATCAGATGGGAAGAATAAATCGGGGCAAGTTAGAATGCTAGTTCAGGGAACAGAATTCAAATGGAACTTTGGAGAACCCAAATTGTCCCTAAGGTTGGAGGTTCCTCCTAAGTTTTAGGCCCTTCTTCTCCAACCTTTCCCAGTAGTCCTACCTGTCATGGGAACCTTCATCTCTAAACTCTGTGCTTCCTTCCATACATCGATTCCTTGGATGGCCCCAACCATAGATTCTGTACGTAGCTTTCATAGCGCCTCCACTCAGGCAACTGTTCGGCTTCCACCATGCTTCCTATTGCTTCAAAGCTCCCAAGTTCCCTAGCTCCCAAGGTGGTCTTCCCTACGTCAGTGGTTGGGGGAGATTTACTTCCTAATCCTTACCACAGCCTGCCTGCCTTGCCTCTTGCCCCCTGCCCCCTGCCCCCTACACACATACACAGCTCTCATAATAGGGTAGAGGTGCCCATCTTTTCCTCTCATAATAGGGTGGAGTTGCCCATCCTTTCCTGGAACCCAAGGTTATCACACAGAATAACCAGAAGAAAAGGGAAGAAATCCGTTTTCCCATAGAGCAGAATGGCCTCTTCTCCCCTCTGAGCTTTGGGCCTCCCCCCTGCCCAGGGGAAGAACGTGGACTATCAGGAAGATGAGCAGAGAGCACAGGGGCTGCACAGTCCAGGCTCAGACATGCAGTGCCCAACCCCCTGAGCTGTCTCCAAGGTACAAATACAGCAAAGAGATGCTGAAGGGACAGGAGGTCATAAGTGAGGCCTGGGCAAAAGACAAGAACATGGAGGGGAAAATCAGTAGCATCTGGGGGCTTCTGGAACATTGAGCACTGAGAAGGAGCCCAGACTGAGCTATGTGCATCCCTCAGTGTCTCCAGCCCTATTTACTTCTCACAAAGGAGTGAGGGTGCAAAAGAGCTGGGAAAGGGAGGTGTGAAAAAAAATTGAAGGCAGCGGGGAGCCTTGAGTTCCACTGTAGGTGATCGCAGATTAACTGAAATGAATGCTTTACATTTATAATCTTATTTAATCCTCACAGTTGTACAAACTATCACCATTTTATAGATGAGGGATTGAGGCTGAAAAGAAGCCAAAAGACATGCATGCCCAAGGTCACAGAACTAACAAGTGGCAAACGTGAGATTTAAACACACGTGATTTCCTTGGTAAAATGTTTCCAGCCTACAGTGCAAACTCAAGGCCACTTTCATCCTAGAATATGATGAAAATGGCCAACAGCAAAGGCCATCTGCTAACACCCACTCTGGGGGAGGCCAAGCAAGGACAGCTCCATTAGGAAGGCGGGACTGGCATCCTCCACCTCAAGTCCCCAGATGACCTGGACAGACCACAACTCCCTGGGAGACAAAGCTGTTCTGTGTATCAAATCACCCCCACCCCTACCAAGGCCAGTATCCAGTTTTCTGATAGCTTTAAAATCCATTATTGGCTCCGAGTCACTGGATGGGAGCCCAGTTTCTGACTCTCAGGCTCGTTATCAGTCTGGAAAGGCCAGGGTTATTTCCACCACTTCTTCAACTTTCACGGAATAGGAAGCGCTCCCACAGGAAGAGCCAGAATACCACATGAAGTCTGTCCCTGATGGAGCCTACTGAACCACGGGCCATCCAGGCACAGGCCTTGAAGCTGCCTTTGACTCTCTGGAGTGGAAAGGACCGGGGCAGATGAAAATAACTATGATGCAGTCCTTAGGAGATTTCTTAGAACAGGAGAAAAGGAAACAACAGGACTTCCGTCTCTCACTTCCTGTATGGGAAGGCACATACTCGGGGTAGGGTGTATGCTCTTACGGAATCAGAATTGAAATCCCAGGGAACACACTCCACAAGTTCAATTAGCTCTTCCCAGGTATCGTGTGCGGCTCATAACGGCACCAGAAAAAAAGACAGAGGGGAGTCCTGCAATTAGTTTCCTCTCTAGGAAGTTTCCCTATAAAATAAACTCTTTATTAAAATAAAAGTATAAATATTTAAATAAAAACTATCTTAATTTGCATAAAGATTTTTATTTTAAAATACCACTTGGTGTGCCTATTTAAAGAAACGTAAACATTTAGACATAAACCAATGACATCTCAACTAAATCTTGAATTTTTACTTCCCCTTTAAGAAAGTCTTTTAGAAGTCTCTCACTAAGTTATTTTTAGGAGATGTAACCACACACCAGCCATTTGCAGCTTCAGCATCAAAACTACCAGCAATCTTTGAGAATCACTGATAAAGAGTGCTCACTCTGATAGTTACTTGTCATTTTCAGTAAGACTCCGATCATCTTTTCCCCCACCCCCTATGTTTCAATCTTCCCAATTAGGTCATAAACTGGAAAAAATGAGAAAATTTCAAGCTACTCTTCTTTAAAAATAAGGATTTGTTCTCCTGAATGAATACATTTTTGTGGCAGGGAGAGGAGGAACCGCCGTTCTTTCCCTCTCGATTCTTCCTGCATCCGTCTCCTCTCCTCTCTGCCGGCTGGGTTTCCGACACACAGTGAACGCTTCCATTACTACAGGCCCGACAGTTTTACTCCTACCCCAGCCCTCATCTTTAAAAGGCGTTTTGTGAACACACACCATTCACAAGACGCACCACTGAACTGTGGTCTAGATCCCCGGTGCCGATCTCCACCTGCCACTCCATGTTCCCAAGGCTGCTCTCTGGGACAGTACTCAGCCCACCCATGGGGCTGGGACATCCTCAACCCCTGGGCCAAAAGCTTCCCTTTGGCTCACTGATCAGCGAGCCCCAGCCACACAAAGGCGTCTGCTTCCGCTGCTTCTTGACCTCATGACCCTTGGAAATATCTTGGAATGCCATGAGAACATTCAAATAATGCTCCTTTATAGCCATCTTCTTTGTGATGAATCTAAAGTACTAACGTTCAGAGAGCCAGCCCCGTGGCTGAGGGGTTAAGTTCACGCGCTCTGCTTCAGCAGCCTGGGGTTCGCCAGTTCAGATCCTGGGCGCAGACTTATGCACCGCTCACCAAGCCATGCTGTGGCAGCATCCCACATAGAAGTAGAATGACCTACAACTAAGATACATAACTATGTACTGGGGCTCTGGGGAGGGGAAAACAAAAGAGGAAGATTGGAAAGAGATGTTAGCTCAGGGTCAATCTTCCCCACCAAAAAAAGCGCATACTTTAAAGTATTAATGTTCAAGACAAGGTAAGTGAAGTTTCAGAAAACCGGTCTTTGGGAGAACTGGAGTCTTACTAGGTGGAGCTTTGCTGAAATCTATTCCCAATTATACAAGAGGAAAAGTGCCACTCAGGATACGAACCGAACAAAGGACTCATCCCCCTGACGGTCACCCTCACTTAGGAAAACATGCTCAGGTGGACTAAGTTAAAGACACCACCTTCACCAACTTTGTAAGGAAATTAAAGGGCCAGAGACTAGAAAATATATTTGTGACACTAATGGGCATGGCACTGGTAAGAAATACTGAATGAAGAAGGCAGTGGAGATAAAGTGATATAGATAGGGATTCAGGACTTCTACAGCAGAATTTTCAGATTAGAAGCTCCTATCTGACTTTTAGAAGTTTCTCCAGCTCTTCTCACAGGCAGGGCTGCACCCGTGGAACACAGATCTTGAGAAAAAAAGCACAGAACTAGAGAGAATCTCCCTACCAGACTCTAACTCGTACTCTGGTGATTTTTCCCTCTGGAGAGAAACACACTTGTAAGCAAGTGAAGACATTCCTTAAGTGTTAAAGTTGGTGATACATGTAGATAGTGTTTTAGGAAGCCTCAGAATGATAGACGGTTCTGGAATAGCTTAGTTCAACAAAATAATTCCAACTTTGATACCCTAGGGTGATCTCAACATCTGAGCCTTCTTTCATTCCCTCCACCCAGCTCCACCCTCCCAGTCTTAGAAGATTCTTGAGAAGCAGCTGTGCCGCTGTAGAGGGGTGGGTATACTTTAAATTGTTGAGTTTTCCCTGGGTATCTGAAATCTGTCTTCCAAAGTTCATTTTTTCCCTAAAACTTTCGTCAGATGCTCTGTGCTAACCTTCCTAGACAGGCTGTGGTTTCTCCCACCTGCTCCCAGCTCTCTGCAATCCCTTTACGTGAAGAGGAGGAGCCTTCCAAGATATTTGGGCTCCCCCCAAACCTGACGTCTAACGACACTCGAGCTTCATCTCCCCACCTCATTTCTCAGGCACGGGATCCCCAAGATCCCAATGAGAGAGGTAAACTTGTTGAGAAAGAACTGGAGGGGAAAACAGGCTATAATTACAGATACACACACACATATCCCTCCTTAAACTTTTAAGTTGCAAAGATTTCCTGGAATCACATCTGGTACAGAATCATGGGAATGCTCAAAACGAACAAATAGTTTTCTGAATCTATAATTAAGACATCAGAAAGGTCAGAGGGGAGCTAACAAACTCCTCTCTACAGCTCTGAGGAGGTACTTCTCAACCCCAGTTTTGGAACCCACTGTGGTATGCTGTGTGCCGTCAAAACAGCTAATGTACCCAAGATACCACTTTCTCCAAAAACCCCTGAAGGCCTCTAACTTCAACTTGAAAACCACTGCCAGAGTGCAATCTGAATTCACTGTTCATTCTTTGACGATGCAAAGCTCGCGTCTGAGTCATTTTCCTGATGTCTTACCTTCCCCTACTTAGCTTGTGGTCGATTTGAACAGACTTTTCTGTAATCAGCCATGTTACTCAGGACCTGGGTAAATATCTGGCCCTCCAGATGTACTTCACCTGTTTCATACACTTTCCGGTGTTTTCCATTATGCAAGGCAGCTTTCCAATCTAATATTTATATCATACTTTACAGTCTACACAATGTTTTTACAACCATATTCCCATTAGATCCGTAAAACCTCACTGTGAGCTAGGCATGCATAATCACTCTTTTACAGACGGAGGAGCAGAGGTTTACTCGGCTAATTACGGAACAGAGCAAGGAGGAGAACCCCCCCCCCCCCCATCCAACCGACCACATTTCGTGTGCACTACACGTTGCTGCCCCACAGACAGGACCGCTTCCAAGCTCAAACCTTTCGTAGGCTAGAGAGTCTCTGGGGAAGCCAACTGAATGTACTTCGGTCCTGGGAAAGGGTAAATAAAAACCCGAAGTCCAAAATTAAGGCACACCATGTGATGTGAATAGAGAATATCATTTAAATATCTTCCTGGGCTAGATAAAAGACCTCGACTCTGTCCTGCCCAGCTAGGTGGTCGACTGGGAGTCCCTTCACTTCTCCGGGCCTCGGTTTCCCCTCTGCGGAGGAGGGCTGGGCTTCCAGAGTCTACACACGATGGGGCAGATCTCGACCGCTCCCTTGCAGAAGTCTTTCACCCCAGCCTGAGCGACGCAGTCAATGTCGGTCACGCGGAGGAGGCGTAGAGGGAACAGCACCCCCGCCTCCCGGCCCCATCAGCCCCGCCGGCTGAGAGAACCGGGGCGGCAGGCAAAGTCGGGCAGAGGGCCGCGAACCCCGCAGCCCGCCCCGCCTTCCTCCGCAGCGGTCCCCAGGCCCTCAGCCGACTGCCAGGAAGGCGCTGGCCTCGGACGAGGCGGGGCGCCGGGGTCAGCGCCCCGAGAGGCCCCCGGGCGGACCGCGCGAGGACACCGCTCTGGCGCGGGTTTCCCGGCCCGGATTTCCCGGCCCGGTTTCCTGCAGGGTTCTGGGGGCCCCGCGCCCCGCGGACGACGCATGCGCGCCCCGGCCTCCGCCCGCGCCGCCGGGAGCGCAGCGGCTCCTCCCACCCCCGCTGGCGCGAGAAGACGCGCGAGCGCCCAGTTACCGCCACTCAAGGGCACCGGGGATTAGGGTGGGCTTTGCAGGTAGATCGTGGAACTAAGAGGCCCGTGAGATCATCCTGGAGCATAGACTACTAGAACAGTGCCTCTGGGTGCTTGTTAGAATTCCAGATTCCTGGGCCGCATCGCCAGCAGCCTGGGTAAGACCCAAGAATCGCTGTTCTTAAATCACCCCCAGATAATACTGATAGAAGTGGTCCTCCTAGGCTGGACCCACCTTCTTGTTTTAACGAATGTAGGAAGTGGAGCAGAGACTTGGAGAAATGGTTGGGCCAAGATCGTACAGAATTAAGTGGCAGAGTCTGGTGTAGAACCCGGATTTGTTGACTTGCACTCAAGTGCTTTCCCTCACTGTTCCCTCCTTCCCCTCCCGCCTTCTTTCCAGGGCACGGTTTAATTGGTACTAGGCAGGCTGGCAGGCAGTTCGTTCACATTGGTTGGGCTAACTGGAGAATGAAAGGCCCTTTCTCAGAACGCCAAAGAACCCCATCCAACAACTGCACATCAAAGCTCCACTCCCACAGAGGACCCTTGGCTGGTACCGCCTCAGCCTGCATAGGGGCAGGGCGCCCTGGAGAAGGCTGAGCCCCTCAGGGCAACAATGGATGGTTGGGCCGTATACACGCTTCCCCAAACACGCCCTTGTCCATATGTGATCATGAAGGACTGTCTGCATATGGCATCACAGGCAAAATCCAACAAGAATGTCAAACGCTTCCATGTCTACATGCACGTGTGGGGCTTTTGGGGAAGTCTGACCCATCCATGTGTGTTGGATTCTGGCTCTAGTTTAGGCACATTCAGTAACAGGCAGTGGCCCCAGTCCAGGACAGCTGGATCATACGTGCTGACAGTCACTTTCAATGGCCCTGGATGGGGAAATGGACACTCCATTGCATATCCTTGTGAGAAGCAGTGTCAGGGAGCAGCAGAGCTGAGACGTCAAGTCAGCAAGGCCCAGCACCCCACCCTCCAAGACAAAGCCTGGGAGACAAAGCTTGCCCATGTGGAGGGGAGGGGTTTGGGGCTGCAGATGCTGGGCCCTCTTTGCTTTGAGAAGCCCCCTCAGCCCTGGCAAGAGAGCAGCTAGCAAAGTAGTTCTGCCAGGCTTCCAAGAGAGCAGGCAAGTCCAGTCTCTGCAGTGGTCCTCAGGACAGACTGTTCTGTGGGACGAGACTGGGTGTTCTCAAGGCCACTCTAACACTCTGTCCAGAAGCCTGTCATCTTCCTCTGCTCCTCCCAAATCTCTGCCCCTCTTTATCTGTCCTGTCTCAGCCTAGCTGTCTCAAAACTTCAATCAAGGCTGCAACTCCTTCCGAGAAAGCCAGGAACTCCACTGCAAGTCCCATTCCCTATGGGGGAGTTCCAGCTCTCCCTCCAGTCTCCAGATGTAAAGGAACAGCTGTGGAGGTGGCAGGAAGCCCAGTTGGCAGCCAGGCGGGGCCTGGGAAGAAGGAGAACAAAGTGGGTAGGAGACAGGCAAATGGCAGGCTATCGCAATTCTAGAGACCTGGAGGAAAAAGCATTTCGGCGCGGGCCCAGCGACTGGCGGACAGGCCTTGCCAGATCCCTTAGATGCTGCCCGAGCCTTGCCCATCCCAATCCTGGCAGCCTGGGCCACTGGCAGGACCTTCTGTAAACTCCATTTTATGACTCCCACTTAATCTGAGACGGGAAACTTGGCTTCCTTTGAGTGACTCCACCCCTGTTCTCAAACACACACCTCCCAGCATGAGATTTTAGAAACTGAAGGCTGGTGAGGGAGAGGAAGGGAGGCGGATAGGGCTCTGCTACTCCCATCTGGCATCCTCCTGCCCGTCCCTACTTCTGGAAGGTAAACCAGGATGCAAGATGCCCGGCTGGGTGTCCGGAAGACAGGGCTGCTCCAGCCACCACTTGGCTGCCTGCCACACCAGGGTGAGGATGCATGACTTGGCACCAAGCACTGTACTCAAGAAGTAATTATTTCCTGGGCCAGCCCAGTGGTGTAGTTGTCAAGTTTGCACACTCCACTTTGGGGGCCCAGGGTTCACAGGTTCAGATCCTGGATGCAGACCTATACACTGCTCATCAAGCCATGCTGTGGTGGCATCCCACATACAAAATAGAGGAAGAACACTGGCACAGATGTTAGCTCAGGGACAATGTTCCTCACCACAAAAGAAAAAAAGAAACAAAAGAAAGAATTACTTCCTGAATGACCAGGGCCTGCTCTTGGTCCCCCTAGGACCCAGAGACACGGCTGGTCTTTAACAAGCCTGTCCACTGCTGGGAAAGGGGGCCCACTGCCCATCCAAGTCCTCCCCAACCTGAAAGGACACAGGGTATCACAACTGCTTCCGTTTTAGGAAAAATAGTTTAATGATAGGTTTGAAACCTCTTTTCTGGAAGAGGTCCCCTTCGCCGTGGACCCCCCATCCCACTGCTCTTCCCAGGCCTGCTGGGAGGCAGCACCCCTCCAGACACCCCCGTCCTCCTGGGATGCCTGCTCTGGGTCTAGGCTTTAGTGGGCCCAGCACTTCTGTGTTTTTATAAAAAGTGGGCAGAACACTGTATTATGCCCCTTCTCTGGATGCCATGGGACCAGCCCACAGCACTTTCCTACCCCTTAATTAAATAGCCCATTAAATAATCTCCTGGTGCTGGTGGAGAGCGGCTGCCACAGCCATGAGCCCCTTGGCTGGGCTTCTGCTCCCCAGGGCCTCCACCTGGGCAGCCAGGGGCACAGCCTCATCTTAGACCTGGCCAGTCCTGGGACCCCTCCCCACACAGGAGAGGGTGAGTCCAAGTGGCTCATACTGGCCCCGGCACCCCCACAGCCATGGATGGGGGTCGCTCAGGCAGCAGAGTGGGCAAACCAATGGGTACAGCTCTAATCCAAGTCAGAAGTAAGTGAGGTTCTTGACTGCTCCGATTTCCAGCATCCGCTTGATGGCCAGGGCCTCTTGAGAGACGTTGTGGCCTGACCCCTGTGGAGACAGCCAAGGAAGCAAACTAAGGGACTCCCAAGGACCTCCCTGGCCCAGGACAGTCTCCCTGGCCCTCCCCATGACCTCACACTTCTGGGTGCTCCCTTCCCCATGCTGGCTCTCGGAAGGAAGACAGGATCTGTGAGCCAAATACAGAGGACGCGGGCCTGGGAGTCCAGATGCCTCAGTTCCAGTTCTGACTCTCTGAGTGACCTCACCATGAGCCACCTCTGGGCCCCCGGCACTACTCACTCACCCAGCGTCCCCAGGTCAGTCCACCTTACCCAGCTCGCAAGCAGGGGCCACTTACCGCCATGGACTTGAGCGTGATCTGCTCATAGTAGTGAATGGTCTGCTTCTTGTTATGGGTGTCTGGGTAGCCAAAGCCAGCAATGTGCACCAAGTCGCAGAGGTGGAGGGCCAGCGTGATGGCCAAGAGGCCTGTGGTGGGCTTCTAAGGGACAAGGGGTGGGAAGGTATTAGAGGGAGCCCCGTTCCTTTCACCATCTCATAGGCCAGGGCTGTGAAACAGAGCTTCCTGTGACCACAGACTCGCCTGCATCTGTGCCGTCCTGCATGGCCGCCACGCGCCGCCTGTGGCTGAGGAGCATGTGACTGGGGCTAGGGCAGATGAGGAGCTGCATTTTTAATTTTATTTAATTTTAATTAATCACATTTTAAATTTAAATAGTCACATGTGGCTTGTGGCTACCACACTGGATAGTCCAGCTCAACACATCTGCGGGAAGGGTTCGGGCCTCAAGGGATGATGCTGGCAATCAGGATGACAATAATCATCATCATCATAATATCTATTACTTTTTGAGCACTTACTATGTGCCAGACACTACATTATCTCATCCAATCCTCATAAAAGCACTGTGAGGCGGATACTATTACTAGCCCCATTTTACAGATGGGGAAACTGAGGCTCACGACTGTTAAGCAACTGGCTCAAGGAGTGAAAGGTTCTGTTCTCCACCTTGGAAAATCTCCCCTCTTTCAGAAGACTCGCTCCCGCACTCCCGGGCCGTGTGCCCCCTTATGAGGGTGGGCTCTCCCATTCTGTAAAGTGGGGACACCATGCTTTCGCTCCATACCTTATGAGCTGCCACAAGGACCTCACTTCTCCACCCCTAATCCATCCACGGGGATGGGCCAGCTGATTTTCTAACCTCATAAACCTTGCCTTCCTCAACTCTGACACCCTGCCTTCCAGACCACCTCACCTGCCCACTCCCATAAAGGAGCCACTCCCTGGGCTTTGGCAGGCCTCTGAACACTGGGTTTTTCCCAGCTTCCTTTCTGAGCTCTGTTGTCTCATCTGCCACTTCCTTCCTGGGCCTTCCATTTCACCCCAGTTGTTTTCCCCACCTCTGCATGACCTCATCCAGTTCTGTCCGTTGCTGAACCACATTTCCATCGCCTTCTAGCCAGCTCTGCTTGGACACAGGCCCCTTAAACTCACCCAACTCTCCTCTTCCCCTGCATTCCCTATATCAGTTAATCATATCACCCTCTACCCAGTTGGCCAAGCTAGAAACATACAATGTCATAAATCCTCAATTCCACCTGTAAAATAAATGTTGCAGCAGGAGTTTTCTAAGATAATCCCCCATCACCCTTGCCATTGAGTGTGTGTGCAACCTGGGACTGTGACGAGATACATTACCTTATGTTATATTGCTTTATATGGCACAGTTGACCATAAGATAGGGAGATAATCCTGGTGGGCTGGCCCTAATTACATGAGCTTTTACACGTGGTCTAGGGATCAGCCGTGGAAGAAGTCAGAGATGTGAAACACAAGAAGGATTTATCATGTCATTGCTGGCCTTAGAATGAGGGGGCCATATGGCAAGGAGTGGTGGCAGCCTCTAAGAGCTGAGAGCGTCCCCACCCCAGGCGGAAAGCCAGCAAGAAAACGGGACCTTGGTCCTGCAACCATAAGGAACTGAATTCTCCCAACAAGAATGAGCTTGGAAGTAAATCCCTGCCCCGGCCCTGAGCCTCCATACACGAACTCAGTCCAGCTGCCAACTTGATTTCAACCTTGTATACCCAAAGCAGAGAACTCAGCCACCTCGTGCTGGATTTCTGACCTAGAGAACCATGAGCCAAAACATGGGTGCTATTTTAAGCCACCCAACTGTGGTAATTTGTTAGGCAGTGGCAGGAAACGGATACAGATATCAAGACCTTCTCTTCCTTTTCCCTTCCCACCACGAGGAGCTGGCTCTGGTCCTTACCTCCTCTTGCCTCCCTCTCCAGCCTTCACCCTCTCCCTCACCCTCATCGGGGCATCGACCCCTCCTTGCTGCCCCCTCAGCTCCACCTGTGCTAGAACTCGGTGCCAGGGGAGCTGTTCCGTCTTGCCAAATGAAACACCTCTCCCCAGTCCTCCACCTGATGGGCCCCATGACCCCTCAAGGCCTAACTCCAGTACCACCTTCTCTGGGGGAGCTCCCAGACGGCCCCAAGCAGAGGTCTGCCTGCCACTCTGAGATCCCAGAGCACTCAGAACACCCTCTGTTGGGGCATTCTGCCACGGACATGCTGCAACCTGTATGTTTATTCCGTTAGACCAAGTTTCCTCAGGGCAAGGAGTATGTCCTACTCCCTAAGCATGCGAACCTGGGGCCTGGCACAGAGCTGTCCTAACAGCAGGTAGTCACCATATGAAGTTGAATCATAGTAGATATTCAGTAAAGAATAAAACGATTTATTTAAAATTTGGCAAAGATTTACTGAGCATCCACTGTGTACCAATCTCCATGATAGGCATGTTACATAATTATCTTTTTAAATCCTACAATGGCCTTAAAAGGTCAGTACTAATATTATCCTCACCATACAGATAGGAACACTGAGGCTCCACATGGCTGACTTGCCCAAGGCCACACAGTAAGTGGTACAGCCGAGTCCCGTCTATGTCTGCTAGTTACCTCTGTCCACCATCCCACACAGCCTCTCCGAGGGCTCAAGACACCTGTAGAAGTACTTAGGAAGCTACCAAGTGTGTTGAAGCCCATCAGCTGAAGACCACTAGGGTACTGAGAGCCGAAACCAGAACTGGAACTTGCAAAACTGCACCATGACTCCCAAAATTGACACACCGCACCAAACCGTGATAAGCAAGACAAGCGGTCGGCTCAAACTCCTGACTCATTCAGACCAATATGTTCCAAGATAAGATCACAAAGTGACCTAACAGTAACTGCACCACGGGCTCAAGTTGTTCTAAAGATAAGACCACTGACTGTCCCAGCAACTCCCCAGTTTACAGATTCTGACTAGTGTCTGCCAACACGGCCCTCTAACTCCAGCCCCCAAGCCCTATAAACCCCTTTCCCCACTCCCCACTTTGCAGATGTCGCACAGTTTCAAAAGCGTGCGCCTCTCTTGCTACGGCAAGCTCATAACCCTAACCTGATTCTAGGTGTGCCTGAGGCTGCAGTTGAACGGCTTTACCAGGTGTTATTCAAATACAAGCTCTGGGCCGGCCCGGTGGCACAGCAGTTAAGTGCACACGTTCCACTTTGGCGGCCCGGGGTTCACCAGTTTGGATCCCGGGTGTGCACGTGGCACCTTGGCAAGCCATGCTGTGGCAGGCGTCCCACATAGAAAAGTAGAGGAAGGTGGGCACGGATGTGAGCTCAGGGCCAGTCTTCCTCAGCAAAAAGAGGAGAATTGGCAGCAGTTAGCTCAGGGCTAATCTTCCAAAATAAAAAGCAAAACAGCAGCTGTGATCTCTGTTATTATTTTCTCCTCTCCTGGGGTCCTCCACAGCTTCCTAAGCCTCTAGGAACGTCCCACCTACTTCCCACCCGGGCCCCCAACCCTCTGGCTTCCCTGTGGGCAGCCCATCATTACCTGCTTCACCTTGCGTGGCTGTTGCATTGGTAGGCTCAGCAGTTTGTCAGCTGCAATCTCCATGAAGAAGGGGTTGAGAATCCGAATCTGTTTGGGGTTGACGTCCCAGATGAGGGGAGGCTGTTTCCAGAAGCCCTTTCGCACCTAGGGGGATGGGGTTGGAAGGGAGAGGTGGGAGTGGGTGAAGACCTGTCCCAGGTCCAGCCTGGTGGTCCTTAGCCAGGCATGGGGTCCATGTGATGTCAAAGGCCCTCAGGGTAAGGAGGGAGGCCAGATGACACGATGTGTAGCGTATGGGGTCCAACCACTGCCCAAGTCCAAGGATATCCAAACAGATGGAAGGGGCTTGAGTTTGGGGCTGTCTAAACACTGGGAAAAAATACCAGATTTGGCAGTTCGGCATTTGACTGGACGGCACAGAGACATAGTGGACCTTCTAGGGACTGCCTGGAAGGACACAGGTCTCGATTGTTCTCACCTGTCCCCTGCCTACAGATGACTACTGACCAGTTCCTCTGCTCCCAAGTTTCTCACTGGCAAACAGCTTTTGGCAGCTTTCTGTCCCAGGCAGTCTCAAGCTTGGGGTGCCCTTGGCTGCTGCCTAACTCCTGCAGGCTTGCACACCCAACTGCTCGGGGGGCTCCCCAGAAGCCCTACAGAACGCTGCATTCACGCCCTCCCCTCACCGGCTCTTTAGGAGTGCAGGGCAGACATCATGGAGTGGGAGGTCCTGACTTGGGCAGTGTCCCCATCTGCAGGCCTCCCAGCCTCCCCACTTACCCGCTTCTTATCACTCAGGATGGTCTCAATCCAGTGGAAGTCCATCGCCTTGAAAGCTACCAGGACAAGGAGTGTGTCTGGGTTGTTCTCCACTTTGGGGTTGAAGTGGGCGGATTCAGGGTAGAAGAGGCGCATGGTGGTCTTGGAGCCCACGTCACCCTCATAGCCAGTCACCGGGGCGTTGTTCAATCTGGGAGGCAGGGAGGAGGATGCCCATCACCCAGAGCCCCACTGGGCCTGTCTATGGTCGCTCCCAAATGGAAGAAGGAAGGGACAGTCATACAGACCTGATGACCACATCGTACTTGTTGATGGCATCTCCCAGTGAGCTGTTGCGCAGCCGGTGCCCGTTCCCCACCACCACGCAACGGCGGCACTTGAGACTGCCATGGGAAGAAAGCGATCAGACCCAGAAGTAACCTCTGTTCCTGCTCCACTTAACTCTCCTGCCTGGGTCAGCCCAAGGCCTAGCTCAGCATCCCTTGCCAGGGCCCCTCAGCCCCTGGTCCCCATGGACCAGGCATCTCCAAGGAGTTCTGCTTATGGTCATGCTGACTCTGTAGCCCTGGGCTTTCAAGGGAGAGGAAACTGAGCAGAGCATGGGAGAAGAAGAGAGGAGGGAAGATGCCTGGGGAGTACCAATAAAAAGCTCTATTCAGAGGCCCCTCGCCTGCTGCCCAGCCCTGCCTGTTGCCATGGTGATACCCTCAGCAGCCTCTGCCTGCTCTGCCACCCGGATGCCCAGGCTCAGTTGCCGTGGGATTGGCGTACCTGACTCCCCTGGAAACAGGCAGGCAAGGAAGAAGGGTCAAATTGGCCACAGGGGACCAGAGGCAGGAAGGCTCACGGGAGATGCTAGACCATGACTGTTTCACACTGGGGCAGGAAGGAGAAGGTGCTCAGGCTCAAGGGGGGAGTGTCTCCTTACCTCTGGATGCTCTCTGGAATGGAGTAGCTGGTGATGGCTAGAACCCGGAGGAGCAGGTCTTCTACAAGAAGAACCAGATTGGAAGGGGCTGATGACAACAGCTAGCGATCCAAAGGCTGCCAACTCTCCCTCCTCTGACCCTCAGAGCCTTGGCTGCCTTTTCCTCTCCTGACCCCAGCATCTGAGCCTGGCTGAGAACTTGGGCACTGGGACCATGGATGGCAAAGAACAAGAAGCAGTGTGGCCAAGGTGAGCCCTACTCCACCAGGCAGGTACTTACCACTCCCCTTGGTCCCATAGGGCAGCTCGTAGGCAGATGGTGTCTTGACCCAGAAATAATCCTTAAGCCGCAGGAAGATGGGCTGATCTCGGGAGTAGCTGCACAGAGGTGAAAGCAGGGTCAAGATGAGAGGCGGATTAAGCTTCATGCCAGAACCAGGGTGAGGCCCCTGACTGATAGCATATATATGTCCAAGGCCTCTCTTTCCCTCATCGGCTTCAGCTAACCCATGTCCACCAATACGGTTCCCTCCCTCCAGCCGGCCCCCACCCTGTGAAACTCTCAATTCCAGCTCACCGCATGCCCTGCCCCACCCTCCTCAGCCTCACATACTTACTTGCCAAAGAGCTTAGAGGCCTTCCTCTCTGCCTCACCCTGGAAGCACGGCTCCTTCTTCTCTGGGATAGGAAAATAAAAACTGGAGACAAAAAAGGAGAGGAGGCAGGAGCTCCAGTCAGACCTCATGGGCCCAGGGGCCGGCACTCCAGGCAGCCTCCACCTTCCCCCCTCGCACACAGGTCCCAAGGTGCTGGAGAGTGGCTTGCAGCGTGGAATCATCTCAATCCAAGCTCCACTTCAAAACCAAATCATTGAGGATCCAGCTCTTCCTTTTCCTGAACTCCCCCGGTGAGGGTCTGGGGGAGTCATCCCAGACCCTACCTTCACGGAAGGATTTCATGCTGGCAGTTGAAGGAAGAGGTCATGCCCTGGCTCCTGAACCCTCCTGCCCCACAAGGTCCCCCACCCCATGACGCTCCATCCCTGAGCCCTGTTCCTGAGAAGAACCAATGGAAGGACGTGGAAGTTGGACTCACAGTTCAATGTATCTGTCTTCTCGGGAGATGGAATACAACACCATGACAACCAGGACCAGAGCCAACATGGCCAGGAGCTTCCAGCCTGCAGGGCACATGCACAGAGGAGCTGGAGGCAGAAACAGGCAGATACAGTCCCAGTCTGCCTTCTCACCTGCCCCGTTTTGGGCTCCTCCAAGCCCCATCTCAAGCAGACCCAGTCCGTGGCCCTCACCTGGCCTGAGCTTTCCAGTGTGGGGCTTGGACCTGAGCATTTCCACTGTCCTTCAAGATGAAAAGAGGGGTCCCTGCCCCCCTGTCTGTCCCTCCATAACCCCCAGGTTGTCCCAGGATGACAATGAAGACTGCTTCTGGGGGCCCATCCTTTGGATGGGGGGGGGGGGGCTCTTGGACAATACTCACGGGACTTGCTGGTCATGTTTTTCAGCAGGTGGTAGGGTTCCTGGGGAGAGCTGTCATCCCGGCTGCCTCGGGCCACCTAGGAGGTAAGAGTCACAGGGGTTGGCTCTCCAAACCCTCCCACTTAGACACTGAAGCAGGACACACCTGCCACCTGCCTCTTCCAGCCCCCAAAAGCACAAAGCTGCTTGTGCGGTGGCCATCCAGAGAGTGGCCCTTTGCACCCTGGACATACCACTAACCCCTCAAAGCCATCTTCAGAGGTCCACGGGGGTCCTATGCCACAGAAAGGGAAACCAAGTCCCACCCTTCAAGGATTAAGTCCCATGCCAGCCAGGCCTACTCCAGCTTCCCTGGCATGGTTTTTCTCACTGTCTTCTTCCTCATTTTGACCCAGGAAGAGGAAGGTGGGTACCTCCACTCACATTTTACATGAAAGTTAAGCCAAGTGTCCAAGGCATGATTCATATTTTAAGCAACTGAAGTTTATCTATTCTCCAGCATCCAAGGCATTCCTTTGGTTCTGGCCACGGCCCACCTCTCCATCATCAATCTCCCACTACTCCAGCCAAACAGGTCCACTCAGCCCAGATGCTCGGGTGAGGGGGGGGCTATGGGATGGTCTGGGAGGCCTCCTCCAGCCCTCTAGACTCTGACTAAATGCAAACAACGCGCAAGTCCTCACCGCCCTACGAGGGGAAACTCCGTGAAGGCAGGGCACTTGAATGGGAGTGCAGGGAGCGGGAAGAGTCTGGTTGGTCAAAGAGGAGGAGACGGGAGACCCTTTTGGGTAAGAGCAAAGGCCAGCAGGATAAGGATGGGGCTACGGAAGGGGGTGAGTTGTTATATGTACATAAACAGAGGGGTCCCTACAATCACAGTCACGGCCACGCTTCAGAGTCACCGGGGAAGAAATTTTGGCAGATTCCACAACCACATGAAGAGGCACAGGAGCACCGATTTCTGCCATCCATGCCGTGTTCCCCAACGATCTGGATCGTAAGAATCACCCAGATTCCAGGGTGGTTTGCCGGGGTGGGACCTGAGACAGGCATTTTTACAAGCAGTCCAGGTGACTCTTATGATGGATCAGGAAAGGGAAGGAAGCACTAGTGTTTGTGCTCTCTTGGGGATAAATGGAAAACCTCAAATTATTTCTCCAGGGCAGGGGACAGCATCAGGATGAGGCCTGGGTTTTGTTACAAACAGTAAATCAATTATCCTGAACACTGTCCTATTATGGAGTTGATGCTCTGCTCCCCAGGCTCCACTCTGAGTCCACAAACGTGGAAGAATGAGAGTCTTGAGGGGGAGTAGAGAGCCAGGTGGGGTTGCAGGGTGGGGACCAGGGTCAGAAGTCCTCAGTAGGTTCAGGAGACCCATTCCCAAACCCCAGTGGAGATGGAGGATGGCCCTATCCAGGAAAGAAAAGTTCTAGATTTGTAATCAGAAGACTCCCATGAAAGCCATGGTTCTAGTAACTTCCCCAAGCACTGTTCCGAAATTGGCATGCCTTCTTCCATACCTACCCACGGTCACTGCCCAGGCATTCCCTAGCACGGTCGCCTTCCTTTTCTCCTTTGCAGCACTTCTGATCTTTAATTAACTTAGTTACTTATTTGCTTGCTTTCTGTCTGTCTCCTCCACGGCAATATGAGCTCTGTGAGGGTAGGAACCAGATCTGTCTCGTTCCCACCTCCAGCCCCAGCATCTAGCACACTGCCTGGTACACAGCCAGCACGCAGAAAGTATTGAATGAACAACAAGTTGGATTACCTCGGGCAAGTCAAACCTCTCTGACCTTCAGTTTCTTTGGCTATAAAACTGGGAAGTTAGCCTACAGATTCTGACTCAATGGGTGTGGGTGGATCCAGATTCTAACCAGCTCCCAGGTGTTGCCCTGCTGCAGGGCTGACCACACTTTGAGTTGCAAAGCTCTAAACCAGGATCCTTCCAGCTGTAACATTTCATTACTTTCTGAACTACACCCTCTCCTACCCTCTGCTCTCTCTCAATCTTCCTTTCATCACCAGGATTCACTCCATCTCTCTCCATCTCCCTTCATAACACTAGGCCACAACATTGGTTACACAAGGCAATCACTTGAGAAGTTTAAAAATATACAGATAGGGCTGACCTGGTGGCACAGCAGTTAAGTACGCACGTTCCGCTTTGGTGGCCTGGGGTTTGCCAGTTTGGATCCCGGGTGTGGACATGGCACCGCTCAGCAAGCCATGCTGTGGTAGGCATCCCACATATTAAAAAAAGTATAGGAAGATGGGCACAGATGTTAGCTCAGGGCCAGTCTTCCTCAGCAAAAAGAGGAAGATTGGCAGCAGATGTTAGCTCAGGGCTAATCTTCCTCAAAAAAAAAAAAAAAAAAAAAATAGAGATGTCTAGGCCCTATTCGCCAAGATTCTTATTTAACTGGTTAGGAGCAGGGCCCAGGTATTGGTAAGAAAAAAACGAAACTTACCTCCCTTGTGATTCTAACATGCAGCCAAGATGGAAAATACTACATAGACCGTATTTCACAGTAACTGAAAGACAAATAGTCAGCTGCCCTATAGGCCTGACCTCCACGGAGGAGACCGGTCAGAGAGCAGAGCTGACAGGTCCCAGTCCTGAGTGACAAGATGACCAGCCCTTCTGTGAACAATAAAGTTTTGCACTGGTATGTCTTTGTTCCCAAACTGTGCTGGTGTTGTGCTGAGGAGACTGGCTAGTCTTAGGGCCTGCTCCAAGATACCCCAGCAGGGATTTCATTAGTCCACCCCCTCCCCTTGCTGGGCCAAGCCAGGAGGATCACTCAGCAGCCCCGAGACATCCCAGGAGCACTGGCTTCTTGGGCTGGCTGCGGTCTCAGGACAACTGGCAGCCTTCTCCCAGCAGTTGTCCCACATTACTGACTGGGCCCCTGGGTAAAAAAGGACAGGAGAAAAGTCACCGTTGGGTACCTGGGTAGCAGAGCAGAAATCTGATCCACTCATGTCCAAGGGGTACCAACCTCTACCTGACAAGGAGACCAGCTCACCCAAACCCACCAGGCAAAGCTGACCCCAGGGCAGGAAGGCTATATATTCTCTTGGTGCTCTGCCAAGAACCATGGTGTCTCAAGCACCGTCACAGAACTTGCCGAAGGGCAGAATGGGGGCAGAGGGTGAAGAAATGAGGCCCCATGGAAGCAGCAACCATGCCTCCTGCTGCCCCAGTACTCACAGCAAAACACACAGCAAGCACTCAGTAGGTGCTCACTGTGCCAAGAGGAGCAGAACTGGCTATCTCCCCAGGGGCACAGCATGATGCCAGCCCCTTCAGAGCCCTTGGGCCCATCAAATGTATATGGCCTAATGCTCCTGAGAAGGGGCATGGAGGACAGCAGGGGCAGAAGCACAGGCTCTGTTCTTATTGGTTCAGAGGACTTGAGTAAGTCCCGTAACCAATGTCACTGTCCCTCAGTTCTGTAGGGAAAAACTAGAGCTGCCTGCCTGCCACCTCCAGACTCACCCCACTCTCTTTCCCCCTCTTAATCCCTCCCCTGGACACTGGGTCCCACTCACCTTTCCAGGATTGTTGCCCCTCAGTGATCCCCTTTTGCCCTGTTTCTTCCATCTCACCCTGCTCTATTCTCTTTGACTCATAAACATACCCAAGTCTCCCTCTTCCTAAAAGGAAACCAACCGCCCCCACCTCCCCCGCCCCTGCCTCTGTCTCCTCCTCAACCCACCCCTGCATCTCCCTCCTTACTTCCAATGGTCAAACTTCTTTATCTGTTCTGCACCCTGGCTGTCCACTGCCTCCTCCACCCCCGCAACACCCAGAGTTCCTACCCTTATTTTTATGCTGAACCCACTCTTGTTGAAGCCATCAGTGACCTCCTACTTGTCAAACCTGAGTAAGGTCTATTTTTACTCTTCATTGTTCTCTCAAGCCTTTGATACTGTCAGCCAATGCCACCTCCTTGGCTTCCACATCAAGACTCTCCAGGTTCTCCTCCTACCTCCCTGCTGGTCTCAGTGCTGGCTCTACCTCCTTTAGGTGCTGCCATTCTCCAGAGGTCTGTCCTTGAACCTCTGCTCTCCCCAGCTTGGTTTCCCAGGACAAGTTCATTCATTTTCAGAGGCTTAACTACTACTCATACCCTGATGATTCAAGCTCTTTATTTTCAGCCCTTTAATTTCTCTCTGAGATCCCATCCTAATATTTCTAATTTTCTGTTGCACATCCTTCCTGGATGATCTCAAATTCTTCAAACTTAACACGTCCAAAACTGGATCCATCTCCTCCCAGCCCCCACACTATCAACTCAGTCTTCCAACATCTCCCTCCCCTTCACACCAACCCTACTAAACAGTTACTAAGTGTGATCAATTGTTCCCCCCATTTCCTCATTCCAGCAAATGCTTGCTGAGCTCCTACTAAATGCCTGGCATTGTGGGAGGCACTGGGATGTAAAGCTTTATAAAACGGAGTCCCAGTGTAAAGGTCACACAGCCCAGAGCCTCTGAAACGCTTCTGAACGCAGCCCTCCATCTCCTCTTCTCGAGCCACAGACTGATTCTAGATCCCACCCCAAGTTGTCTGCTTCCTGACTGTTCTCTTTACCACAAGTCTCCTCTCACTCGAGCCCCTCCTCCGGAACTGCCAATGTGGCATCTTTCTAAGAAACAACCTGGGTCAGACCACCCTCCTGCTTCAATTGGTCCCCACTGTGGAAATGAAAAGCCGAAGCTCCTCTGACGCTACCAGGGCCCTTTGAACTTGAGCCACATGCTCTGCAGGTGCAACTCCCACCCTCTTCCGGAGCACAGTACGGGAGCCACTTTTTCCTTCCACGTGCCCCACCTTGGCACAGGCCTTCCTCCATCTGGAAGTCCCTCCCCACCCTGTTTGCCTCCTTCTGCAGCATCGGCTCAAATGGCCCCTCCTCCATGAAATCTTTTCTGACATCTCTAAGCAACTGATGTTTTTGTTCCCACAAAATATTGTTTATTTCTTGACTTTAGCACTTAGATAATATAATTTCATGCCTCATAATTACTGCTTTTCATGTCTTCCTCACTATCCTCTGACCTCTGA